CACACTGTCCATCCTAGGGACTATGTTCCCGGACCATTTATATGCCCCCCCCCCCCCCCCCGTGACAAAATGTCGAGCGGGAATATTATTATTAATTTAGAGCTGTTTGTCCATCCATCCAACCGTTTGTCAGTTCCGGATATAAATATATGTCTGGCTATCTCCTCCTACAGTTTTTGAGCTACAGCTTTAATATTTAGTAGGATGTTTTTATACATAATAGAGGTGTGTATGTCTACAGGGTTTTGCTTTTTTATATCAAATTTTCTTTAAATGCCAGGTATTTTGACTTATTAACTTTTTGGTACTAGCTGTATAAAGAGTCGGTTATCCTCCTACAGTTTTTGAGCTACAGCTTTAATATCTAATAGGTTTATTGTCCACATAATGGAAGCGTGCATTGCCACAGGGTTTTTATTATTCTTCAAATACTCTCAAAATGACAGGTTTTTGGACTTAGTCAATATTTCTTGGTACTTAAAGTCAATTTGGGGTAGTTATTGTATATTCACAAAAAAACGGTAGTTGAACTTCTTTTCCTTCTCACTTGCTATATAATTGAAGGCATGATTCGCACTACTAGTACTACAGTTTAATGTTTCTAATGCAATAAATAAGATTTGTTTAGTACTTTCAAATGTTTATTCGATACGGAAAGGCTGAACTTGGTGATCACTGGAAAAAGAAGGTTGAACTTGGTAACTACTAATTAAACTTGAAAGTTGAAACCTTTTGGCTGGACATTCAGGCTGCAAGTAAAGACATAGACTTCTTATACGTTCAGGTATTTCACATCCAATTTTTTATGGAAATAATCTTTATAAAGCACAAAAATGTCAGTATTCACCTCTGAAGCTAACAAAACCTTTAAATAGACTTATTAAGAAGGGATATAGTTACGATACTGTTGTCAGGTCATTAAAGATTGCATATTTTGGCGTTAATATTGATTCACTTATAGGGTCTTTGCATCGGCACTAAACACATTTATTTAAAAACCAGTTGTTGGCATGACACGGGTTATGTTCTTCTCATATATGTTATGATGGTATGATACTAAACCCCTAACGGGAAGGATTGTGCCTGATATTCATATGATGAAGACATAATCTTTCAATCAGTTTAATTGAAGTCTGGAGCTGGCATGTCAGTTAACTGCTAGTAGTCTGTTGTTATTTATGTATTATTGTCATTTTGTTTATTTTCTTTGGTTCCATCTTCTGACATCGGACTCGGACTTCTCTTGAACTGAATTTTAATGTGCGTATTGTTATGCGTTTACTTTTTTACATTGGCTAGAGGTATAGGGGGAGGGTTGAGATCTCATAAACATGTTTAACCCCGCCGCATTTTTGCGCCTGTCCCAAGTCAGGAGCCTCTAGCCTTTGTCAGTCTTGTATTATTTTTAATTTTAGTTTCTTGTGTACAATTTGGAGTTTAGTATGGCGTTCATTATCACTGAACTAGTATATATATTTGTTTAGGGGCCAGCTGAAGGACGCCGCCGGGTGCGGGAATTTCTCGCTGCATTGAAGACCTGTTGGTGACCTTCTGCTGATGTCTGTTCTATGGTCGGGTTGTTGTCTCTTTGACACATTCCCCATTTCCATTCTCAATTTTATACATAATGAAAATAAAAAATAGATCAACATACATAGTATTAAAGGAGTAAGCTGAGTAAGACCCCTTTTGGCCCCAAAATATAGCAGTTTTACAAAATTGTTAAAATGTAAACTTTTAGCTATTTATTGGAAAGTAGAATACTTCTGTTACGTAAATATGGGCTGTTTTTGACAATACAATGCACATGTATCGGATACTAGCATCATTGAGTCATGCTAAATTACAGAAATCTTAGGATTTAATTTTAGCATTTTGATTAATTTTTATACGGTTTCCGTCTAAAATGGAAATGGCCGCATTTGTGTTCATTCTTAATATTTAAATGTAAGTTGTATTTGATGATAATACATAACATATATAAAGGTGGAGAATGAACACGGATGCGGCCACTTTCATTTGACAAAAACCATCTGAAAAGTGACATATTATGGCATATTTGATAGATTTTTCATATTTAAGCTTGAATTTGAACGTCTTTAATGACTAAATCAGTTCAAATCTTTCACATAAACTAATTGAAGTGGACTCTTAAGTGTTAAAAAAAGTGTCCAAAATCTTTCATCAGATGAACTTGAATTTTGGGGCCAAAATCGGCCCTTACCGGACCTACTCCTTTATAATGTCTTGTGATTAGTCGGGAGCATCAATGTGTCTTACAGACAGCGCAACAATTTCCAGTTTTACTTTAATATGACTGTTTATCAAATCTAAAGAATGTGGAACTATACTCATGCATATGACAGAGCAGAGGGGGCATCGTCAATATCTAGTTTTTTTGTTGTCTCGCCTTGAAGGAGTCAAAAAGCGAGACATAGGTATGCTGTTTCCGGCGTCGGCGACGGCGACGGCGACGGCGACGGCGTCAACAATGTATTAGTTTGTGATTAGGTCTAGTTCATGGTGAACCACTAGTGGTAGGTCAATTGTATTTGGTATGCAGTTGTATTAGCATTGGCACATCTCATTACCTTGGAGATTATTTGGCCCCGCCCACTCAGTCAAGGTCTATTGACTTTGAAACTTTTCATAGTTTACATGTATTAGTTTGTGATTATGTCAATTTATGGGGAACCACTAGTGGTAGGTCAATGATATTTTGTATGCAGTTGTATAAGCATTAACACATCTCATTTCCATGGAGAATATTTGGCCCCGCCCCCTCAATCATGGTCTATTTACTTTGAAACTTTTGCTTAGTTTACATGTATTAGTTTGTGATTAGATCAGTTTAAGATGAACTGCTAATGTTAAGTCAATGATATTTGGTATGCAAATTTATTGGCATTTGCAAGTATCGTTTCCATGGAGATTATATAGCCCCACCCCTGATCATGGTTCATTGACTTTGAAACTTTTGCATAGTTAACAAGTTAATGTTTGTGTTTAGGTTTGTTTAAAGGGGACGACTTATAAAAGGTCAATGGTATTTGATATGCAGTTGTATTAGCATTGGCACATCTCATTTCATGGAGATTGTTTAGCCATGTACCTTCAGTCATGGTTCATCGACTTTGAATATTTGCATAACTTACATGTTAAAGTATTGCTATTTTAATTTCAACATTTGCATTATCAAAATTACAAAAAGGCGAGACATATCTCTGTGATAACAGTTTATTATTATTATTCAAAGGAAATTTTCAACACAGTTTCAACTGGCTCGAATAAGTGCTTTTGTCATCTCTGAATCAGAAAAAGTGTGTGCAAGTAAGGCTTTATGAAACCTTGTGAAGTAGCACTCAAATGTTCTGCTCCGAACGTTTGGTTAGTACACAGCACTCTTTAAAAAAAAAAAAATCTTATGCTTTTAGGCATGACATATTTCCGATTGCATTTTAATCAGAAGTCAGTCATTATAATAGTATAGGCATCTGTTACAACTATATACAATTTCATAATAACAAAAAATGTTAAACTATATCATTTTCTATTATTTAATTTTAATATTACTAGTATAGTCCTTTACTGATGACACTTTTGAATTTCTTAACTGGTTTTCGATGTCTTTTATCGGTATATCTATATTTTTCTCAAGAAACCACTTGACGGCTTTGTATAAATCAGGACTTTTCAGAGTTGTAGTTCAAAATTAAGTGTGTCCTGTTACTGTATTCATATTTACTAATACTAATTAGTCGCAACATTAATTGTGTTAATGAAGTATGATTTGATTTTATTTTCTGTGTTTGAACGCCACTTTTTTCATTGGGGGGGGGGGGGGGGGGGGGGAATTAGAACTCACAACTTCGGTGTTGACTGGCTAGTGATTACATAAGAAACTACTTAGACCACTCGGCCACCGAGACCCTCTAATGAAGTATTATACGCTTCTAATCAAAGTAAAAAAACCAACATTATTTTACCGTTGCTAAGCACTATTTTGGTTGCTAATTTTTTTATTAGCATGATATACAATTGACTTACTTAGTCTTACATTTCTTACTGCTAGTTATTCTTGCATGTATTAACCAATCTGATATGATTTTACTATAATTTGTACAATTAAAAAACAAATGTATATTTTGTAGTTTAATCTCATTTTTATCTTTTTTGGCTGTTGCTTAGCAACTTTTGGGTTGCTATGGTCAATATGAACTTCTTAAAAAAATAATGATAACTCGGACATCATATATGAAAGAAAAAAACATTTACGGTAGCTAAATCTTTAAATATTGCTATATTTATACCTCATATGGCAGAAATTACAAATTTTTGAACCGTTGCTAGGCAATATTTTTGTTGCTAGGTTGTTGCTAAGCATTTTTTAAACTGAAATTGAAGTGACTTTTCATTTGGAACTTCAAGTTATTGTTAAACAAACAATACTCTTTTGAATTATGCTAATTTGTAATGAGAAAGCAATGCATAGGTGATAATTTTGCTATTTAATAAAAACCGTTGCTAGGCAACCTTCTTTTCACCGGAACATAAAAAAAATCATAGTTTTGAATAGTTTCTATACTAAGGCTATCAATGATATATATATAAACTTATTCGGGAAGGGGGCCAAAAACGCCCCTTATCATACCTTGTCCTTTGTATTTTCTTGTAACTTTGTGTTCTATACTTTGATGTATGTATATTCATGTCTACCTTGGTATTTTGTATACTTAAACATAACATTTTTACACTTGAACAAGTTCTTATACCTCAAAGTCTAAAAAGCGTGCAAACTTAAGCTTTTGCTAAAAAAATGAACAAGATTATAATTAACTTACCTGTTAATATATGAAAATATGTTTATACATATTCCGTAAACATTTAAATTATCCAGAATGTCGAAGCATAACTATAGATGGCAAACACGCTAGATAAATTAACTAATACGAAAAATCATTAACGAATGGAAATGAACTACTCCGGTAAAAATGAAATCATTAATATTGTAATGTATTTATTCTTATTTCATTTTATTCCTGGATACCTTATTAACTAATAAAGCAGGGATACTTAGTGTAATCCTGTTCACTAGGTCAATTGTTAACAGCAATTGAGTGCAATAAAAATATATTAGTAAAAAAAGAAATCGTCAATTGTCCACCAATAGGATGTATTGCCCCTTGGAGATAATTTGAACCCAGTTTTGCTAATTTTGCAGAAATTATAACCGATAAAGCGGAACAGTGAATAGCAAAAATGTTCAGCACAAAAAGATCTACAAGTATAAAATGGGGAAATGATGAGATACATATAGCTGAATGTGTAGTCAAGAAAAAAAAACAGAAAAAAATAAAGTAACCATTTTTAGTTGATACATATTTCGCATGTTTTATAATAATGTCCGTAAATCATGTCGGAGTAGAGCAATTGTACAATATTTACAGAATATCTTTTAATAAAAGTAAATAATAATTTTTTTTTATCTAAAATACAAACAAAGCACAACGCATACTGAGGGAGGAGGCTTGCCGCAAACGGGCGTGTACAAGATAATTGCAAAAATGTGTCCTCGCACTTCAGATAGTAAATGTCTCACGATTACACAGTCAGAGCAATAGTTTTTGTTGTAGGTTTCCCATTTAATGCAATGGCTGATATTGTAATATAAATCGTCATCCCATTATACAATTTAACCTGGAGTGGGACATGCATCACGAGAAATTCATTTGTTGTCTCCTGCCACTGTACAATATCCGCCCCATTTAAAGCTGTCCCTACAGACACTTCATAGTACAAGGTAAATGCAGAGGTAAAATACGTTTCCCAGCTTATGGTTAAAGTTCTGTTCGTTTCATTTTCAGACATTGTGATGGACTTTGTTTCTAAATATAAATGATTCATTAATATATCCTGTATTCATTGAATGTAATTGTATTATAAACAAAACATCTTGAAATGAGGTCACGAGGAAAACTCTCAAAATTTGAAATAAAAAATAATGGTTGCCTTTATTTATCATTTTTCCATCGTTGAAGAGAAGTTGCGCTAACTCGTCTTTTTTTAACTTAGAAATGTTATAAGTATCAATTTCAATGGATGTCTCGTATCAAAAGTAAGTTACAACACCAAAAAGTGTGCTTACGTTGCTTTTAAAATTCGTTTAATTTGTAAACATGTAAAATCAATTCTTTAACGATACAAGGCTGATAATTAAATACATCAGACGGCCCCTACAAGCCCAAGTTGAAGAGCATCGAAAACCACGGAAATAAGAAGTTAAATTTCCAAACATTTTTATGAAATATTATAGTCTCGCATTGTTACTTGGTGATCACATATACAGATTAGCCATAAATGATAAATATTTTTCAGAAGAAATCAGGCCGTTATTTTTCTCTTTTGAATTGTTGGTACATCTTTTTTTAACTTGTTGAAGAATATTGTACGGCGGTCTATTGTTGTTTACATCTACTCCCTTTGCTTTCTGGTGTATAGTTGTTTCTTTGAAAGTCGTACCATATTTATGTTTATAAGCATTTATAAAATGAGGCGATTGACATACCTGATACTTTCGGAATTATAGTTGACACAGACATATTTGTTGATACAGGTTCACTGGATAGGAATGCATTATTTATTGCTGAAACTCTCACTTCAAAGTGTCCATCATGCAAGTCTAAACCAGTCATACTACAGTACATAACACCGTCATTATCATAAAGGATTGTCTTTGATAAAGACACCGGCTTTTTCTGGTTTTCGAATTCAACCTTGAATATAGCATGTTTTTTCTGAGATAATGTGAGGATGTTTATTCTTTTTTAAAGTTCTTTTTGTTAACAATATTATCTTGAATTTATTATTAATTTGTCTATAATTACATGTTTATCAGAACATTATGATGTTTGTGAAAAAATACGCTTTTTCAGTAACAATAAAAAATGGCATTATATGAGAAAGGTACACAAAATCTTTCGTTGAAATCAAGACAATGGTTTACGATGAGTTGCAGATGCAAGACTCCTCTTGTTGGTACGGAAACGTTTAGCGTACAAAAAAACTCTCAAATGAAAAGGTTAAAGAGTTGTTTCAAATGGAAGACTATGTGAATAAAATCATGTATACGGCTCCAAGCCTGTAATTAAATGTACGATGCCAAAACGTAAACCTTTAACTTAATATCCTATTAGTCGTATTCGTATTCAAAAAGAGCCGATGTAAAATGAATTCCGCTCACAATTTTATTTTTACAGATTAGTCGACTGTCAGAATGACGGACTTCATTTCTGGGTATATGAGCGATTGCTTCAATGCGCACGATAAATGTTTTTTTTTTGCAAAAAATTCGACAGGTGCACTCGGAACATAATGGAAAAGAAACCAAATACATAAAATGATAGGTAGTATCAATAACAAATGCAACTGTATATCTTGATGTCTCGTTTGACAAGAAAATAGGTTTTATGTTTAGCTGAGGTTTTCAAACAGAAGAAAGTATCCACTTACATGGAATGAATCTAAGTCTGATTTATCTTCAAAACCCATCCACTTCAGTCGCACAATAGAAGTGTTTCCATGGAAGTTTTGTTTACTTCTGTATTCCGTAATTGGTTGGTCCAAAATTTGAACTTGAGCATTCTGTATAGAAGGAGGACTGTTTGATATTGTTACTCCGTCTGACGATTTTTTGGTGTGTAAGCCTGCCTTATTGTGGCACCGTAATGTCACGTACACATTCCTCGATGCCAATAAACTATGGTCAAACACTTTAGATACAGATGAAAGGTCTGTCGGTATTCGGACAAACGCCTGGATCGCATTACCAAATTCACTAAAACCTGAAATAATGTTATTATATCAGCAAAAATTTGAAATCTTCAATATAAAAGTAGAAATCATGACGAAGAAGTGAATATTAGTCTAAATGTTTCATGTAATGTTTTACTCTATCTACATAAAACGCAAAACAAAAATCAATGACACTCCTGAAATGCAGGTCTCCGTAGATTTTATTTCTACGGTTTATGTCAAAACGATAATCAGGATTAGCTGGCAGAATTACAAGTTAAATGTATATTATATGGGAAGGTATAGAAATGCTACGTCTAACCTATGATATGCATTGGTATAATCGTATCACAATTGCCAGGCTATACTAAAAAACTTTAATGGCTTGGACAAAATTCAATTATACGAAAAATATTCTCTGAAGAATAAATGTTAGTGAACATCTGCGACGGAATTTATGCATCTAAAATAAAATCCCACAATGACCATCTCTGTTTCTGCTGATGTTAATTGGAGTAATTACGCCAATACTAGAAAACAATGAGAGAATGTTATACTAGTAATCAAACAGCTATTTTGTGTGTTATATTGTTGTTTTTTTTACAAATAATATGTCATTTTTTTTTTAAAACAGCAGTATGTCTTACCAACAGCCCATTCACAATGCGATAGTCCGGACTCTAAATCTTCAACCTTCCAGTTAGCAATGATTTCATCTGTTGTTTGACTGTCTATATCATATCCTATATGAAGTGACAAGAATAAGAATATTAGTTCTGATACAAAATTTCATTGACAATGCAGTTGTTAAAACCCTCTCAATGTTTCACTTGGTTTAACGAGAAACGTATATACATATTCATAGCACACAATTATATACAATAGCGTATGTCTTGTTCATAAATACTATTCAAATAACTCGAACTACTCATTGTCACATATAACTTTGATTATATTATATAAATAGGAGTATCAAAGATTTCATGTGCAATGTATACCTTGATAGGTCATCTCTTCAATATGTAACAACTGAAATACATTTTTTTCTGACTGATCAATTCATCACTAAAAATATTAACCTCATGTACGTGCACGATGATTTTAAACGAATTAAAAAAGTGTCATGAAATCACTATATCCTAGTCAAATTTTAAAGAATAAATAAACAGACATTTAGTTTTATTTACAGTCCACTATACATTTCAAATTATAATTCAATTTCATTGAAGATTGAAGAAAATCTGATGACAACGTTTTGAAAATATCCCCGATTAGAGCTCTTTCTTTTATATTTGACTAGATATCGCAAAGATTATAGATTTATAATGAGAATGTTTTCGAGTAACTGATATCAATTGTCCTGGTAGATTCAAACCCATAAGAAATAAATGCATATCAGAATTACTAAAATATTTGATAAAAAAAAGCGTTTCTCGTTGTGAAAATAACTATATGTCGTTAATTTGTTCCAAGCACGATTTATTTAATTTAACATAAGAAAACTAAAACATAATTGCTTTTGCTTTCACATTAGTTCTAGACAAAACTAAATATTAATATCGATAGTCATGATTTTTAAATACTCACCTCTACAAACAGATCAACTAGTAAAACAGTTTAGCTAATTGCTTTAACAAAAGATTGTTAGTTTGTGCAGTGAAATATAAATAATGCTTACCATTCAAATTGATATAGTAATAGGCCAAAGCCTTCTGGATAATAATTACAAGGTCTTTAGAAATTAGCATTTTTTCTGTAAGTATGCTTTGTAACTGATGAATTAATTCCCTCAGGTACTTACCAATTCCATCATAAACGAATTCTATATCAGGAGGTGTAAGATCAATAAAAAGGGCTTCTGCTGTGGCTACTGAAGACAATCCAGCACCATTGATGGCAACAACTGTTATGTGGACTTGAGAAGTATGTGCTAATGTAATATTATAATTGTAGGCGAATGTGTTTAGTCCAACACTTGTATATCTCTGTATTTCTGTGCTTCCTTCTTTGTAACCTATTAAATAATTAAATTATAATAAATAATACATAAAACAAATAGCATGCGTCACCGGAATACAGCACAGCACAGCACAGCACAGCATAGCACAGCATAGCACAGCACAGCACATGAGTATTCAAATTAAATATTTCAACATTGAAACACTATCAATTAGAACTAATATTAATTCATCTGATTAAGATAAATATACCTGTTGAACTGTTTTTATCTTTAGTCAAGGCTTTTTCTGATTTTACCCTTTTTATTTGCTAGTAGCTATCCAAATTCTTATTAAAAATACCGATATTATCCTGCTTCAGAAGATGAAAACAAACATAAAACAAGCAAAAAAACTTACCAATAGCCCAGAGATATTCAACAATAGGACTTTCCTCGTCAACAAATTGCCATGAGGCGTGTATTGATGACCATCCGTGTAGCCACACTGCGTGAGATAAAACGGGATAAGAATGTGTCCCACCATCAACAACTTCAACCTTAGAAAATTGAATGTTATCAAGTAAAATGCCTGTTGTGTCGTCCATGCTTCCAAATGTTATATTAACGTCTTTATTCTTTGCGGTAAAGTAAAAGGTTTGAGAATGCCAGGATACATCAATGTCAGAACCATGTTTGTCTTGCTTTTGGTACACAAGAAACACGTGTCTTTCATTTCCAAATTCAATATAACCTTCTTTTGTAGAAAGGACTGAATCTTCAAAGGGGACATGAGCAGTAAAAAAATTGACACTATAAGAGTTGTCTCTTTCTAAGTTAGATAATGTCTGCAAAACACTTCCTCTGAGAAAAAGAAATGATCGACCATCCATGGCAATAGATTTTGAAGAGCCCACTACGCAAATGCAATCGTTATCAGAAGAATTCCAGTGTTTTGGTTTTGAATATCCACAAATATAAGTAGTAGACATATTTAAAATGTCTACAAAATTATTATCACTGTCTTCAAATGAGGGATTCTTTATCATACTGTTTTCGGTAAACATTAACTGTACTGGTGTTGGCGGGGTTTCATCAATGACAACACCGTTAGATGTTGCAGTATCCGATACGTGACCAACAAAATCAACAGCATATACTTTACTAAAAATCTTTGTCCCTAAAAATGAAAAGGCATTATATTTTACCGAATCATTTATACATATAATCTTCTCAAGCTATTATACCTAGTATTGCACTAAAATGTATATGATTATCTTGAACTATGTTTTTATAAGATGAAAATATGAGTCAACATAAAAATATGATCAATTATTTTATAAATTTAAAGAATGTTACATTTTCATTTAAAGGGGTTCTATCTGAAATTGCTCAATTTATTTTGCAAGTATTGGTTACTGCAACGTATATATATTGTTGATATCTTCTGTGCTATTTTTTTTTAATAACTAAAGGCAGACACCCTCCTTGTGAATCAATTTCTCGTGAAAGAGAGTTTAACTGCTTTCTAGATCACAAAGTCGGCATGGAATACTAACAAAACTAAATCATGGTTATCTCTTGTAAATTTTACCTGAGCGTACTATAGAAGAGTTGATGGATTTTGATACTGATCTTTGAATACCAACATGTAGATAAGGCAGCACATCACAATCCCTTTCGGAGATTTCGGATTGCACGCACCAGTAATACTTCCTTATTCCGGAATCGTGGTCTCCAAAACCATTCCAGGAAGCACTTACAAAGTGTGAAGTGTTTTGAAAATCTATTGCTATGTGTCCTGTGGAAACAAATTATCAATATATTTGGTACATTGACAAGAAAGATATTTCTCACAGTATTAAAAAATTGTAAATTTCTCCAAAAAGTGAAAAATTGAAAAATATTTTCTTTTAATTTCAAGAAAAAAAATATTCATTAAGTTCGCTGGAGAACATAAAGATAATAGAACTTTTATTTGTACCGTTTCATTTTCATCAATTACTGAATGTTGTAATTGTACATGTGACCATTAAAAAACTCCTTTTCATGATAACTGAAACTTTTTGAGATATGAAATAATTGTTGTCTACTAAAATGCATTATCAGTCTATTTCTTTCATTTAACATGCAAAGATGTACAAACCTATGCCGTCATTTACAACTCCGCCCAAAGGTTTATCAACATCTACAGTGAACCCATCTGATGACAGTGTCATGTGCTGTCCAGCATAACTATAACCAACCACATTAGAATAATACCTAACACGGGGTAATAAAGGGACTCGGCTTATATTGACCGACGATACTGATCCTGGAATATCTATTTCCACTTTGTGTATGTCATGACCTAAAAGAATGTGCATGTTGGATATTATAACATTTATCACAATTGCGTGTAGCTATGTACCGTACTATAATAATCACAAAAATGCAAATTTTACAATTACTTTGAAAACAGATAGTGCAGTTTCGTGAAAATTGACCAGATGAGTGGTTTTTTTTCAACAACGTTATTAGAACCAATGTTTTTCCTAATTTAAAGAAATCGAATACATGATAGCTGTTTGTTACAAACACTTCTGTAAGATAATTGCAGTAAAGGAAGAGATGTAGCAAATATTATGAACAAAGAACACATCATATTATTTTGGATTATTAACCTTGATAGCCTTTTATTGAAAGATCCTTTTTGAAGATGTAATATATGCTTTTTTGTGCTTCTTTGTTAAATATTTGTTCGTTTTTTGTTGTGATTAAGATTGTGACACGGTGTTGACTGCTGTACCCCTATTTTACATTTTTACCTATTATGTCTGTTTGTTTTATTCACGCATCGTTGTCAATATAATGGAATTTGATGCGATTGTCATACAAGTGAGAGGTTTAGCGCTATAAAACCAGGTTCAATCCACCACTTTCTACATAAGAAAATGCCTGTACCTAGTCAGGAATATGACAGTTGTTGTCCATTCGTTTGATGTGTTTGTGCTTTTGATTTTGCCATTTGATTAGGGACTTTCCGTTTTGGATTTTCCTCGGAGTTCAGTATTTTTGTGATTTAACTTTTTCCTCTTCGTAAACATTTACTAAAGTTATGATACAAATCAAGAAAGGCAGACATTTACATATGAATCCTTCAATTGGTGGTATGCCAACTTCACCTGCATATGGGATATACAATTCCCAACTCATTCGGTATTCAAGAGCTTGCAGCTGCTGCTTAGACTTTGTAGAACGCCACCGGTGTCTTAACTCTCCAGGGTTATGTCAAAGAACGTTTCGTTCTTTTTCTAAAAGGGTTCACCGGAAGATTTCAATACCTTATTTCAAAATATTCAGTTTTAACTTCCCAAATAATACAAGAGTATACGTACTAGGTTGTTAATCATCCTTGTGTGCTTTGTCTATATGCCTTTATGTTTTTCTTTGTTAATATATTTGATTGTTTTTATAGTGATTAATTATAACACAATGTTGACTGCTGTACCCTTATTTTTTGACACTTTTATCTATAATGTTTGTTTGATTTGTTCACAAGTTGTTGTCAATGTGGTGCAATTTTATGCGACTTTCATACAAGTGACAAGTTTGGATGGTTATAAAACCGGGTTTAATCCACATTTTCAACATAAGAAAATGCCTGTATCAATCTGAGCGTCACTGATGAGTTTTATGTAGACGAAACGCGCGTCTGGTGTACTAAATTATAATCCTGGTACCTTTGATAACTATCAAGTCAGGAATATGACAGTTGTTATGCATTCGTTTGATGTGTTTGAGCTTTTGATTTTACCTTTTGAGTATGGACTTTCCTTTTATAATTTCAACCCTTCTGTATTTTTGATATTTTACTTTTTTTATCAATGTGAATACTGATTTATTTTTATTTCCGAAGATAAAGACATCCCCTCATCCCAAAATTAAGCAAAACGACAAACTGAAAAGGCTCGTAACGAATAATAGAAGTACAATGTACTAGTAAGTATAGAACATAACTATGTGAGTAAAAGAAGGTATATTTTTGTGAGGCTCCAAAAAATGAACAGATGTTTTCATGCCTTCTTCAACAAAATACAAGGTATTGTTTGACCATATTTAAAGTTCTTAATCTCCCACAAAGAGCTTCTATTTAGACCACATTGTTCTTTGTAGAAAATCAACAAAGTAACATTTAAGAACCTATTGTCGATGTTTTTCTCTCTCGCAGGACGGTGGCTTTTCAAGGTATTCCTTCTTCCTCCACTAATAAAATTGGTAACCCTGATATGATATTACCAACGATGAACGAAGTGGCGTAAGCGACCAACAAACTAACTTCGGATATGAACAATTGTATGGTGCAGTTAAACTGGTTCTTAACTCTGTGTTTTATTGTGTCCTCTTCCTTATTATGCCATTTTGAACACCGGTTGACTACTGTTGCCTAATTTTATCGATCAGTGGGGGTAAAAAAAAAGGATTTTAAAAAGAACGCATTTATTAATCAATTAAGACTATCAAACGCCAATGACGACTTACAAACAATTCATACTTTTCTAGACTATGAAAATTACACGGATAAACAGAACCATGTATCATTTTATTCTAATATTCGCTGTATCTCCAAAAAGTGGTACAAACGATTTTGAAAATAAAGATAATTCTTAACCAGTTGTGCTGTTCTATGAAAACTTGAAAATGTTGGAACCATTCAATTGAAGCAATCCATAAGTGTATAGATAATCGTTTTCAGCAATACGAATTTTTAGATTGAAACATAAAAAAAAGAAGATTGTAAGTAAATGCATTCCTCTTGAATTTGTGTATCTATCTTATAAATCAAATTAGATATAACAAATCAAAAACTAATATGGTTTCAGTTTGTGTTGTCAATAATAATAAGGTTCAATACATACCACCAGGGTAGGTACTCAAATAAACATGAAACTTTTCAATAACAGTGCTGGCCTTCAAAAATGCTTCATGCCATGAAATTGTAAATAGCCCGCCTCGTAGCATATAATCAATATCCTTCTTCCAGTGGCCTGGTAAATGTTCCATTACCTATATTTAATACTTACTTATTTAACATTATGTTTAAATATGAACCATTTTCAAAGTAAATTTGTTTTCAAAACCTAAATAGTTGAATTGGTCAGTAAGATATTAAGTTCAGCTGTACATTTATAATGAAACAAAAGAACAAAGGTATAATGTACCCAGATATTGCATATTATTGCGTATTAATTTAAGGCCAATGACTAAAAAAATGTTTCTGATTCTTTTAAATTCTTTTTAAAAGAGGGGCGAAAGACAAATACCCGACGGACAGTCAAACTCATAGATTGAAAATAAACTGACAACGCCATGACTGAAAATAAGAGGCTTTCAAGAGCCTGAATCGCTCACCTGTATTTCAGAGAAGATTTTTTAATGTTAGCAAACTTGATGAACAAATTGTGTAAAATTGTCTTTAAAGGGCAATAACTCCTTAAGGGGTCAATTGACAATTTTGGTCATATTAACTTTTTTGTAGATCTTACTTTGCTGAACATTATTGCTGCTTACAGTTTATATATATCTATAATAATATTCAAAATAATAACAAAAAACTGAAAAATTTTGTTAAAACTACCAATTCGGTGGCAGCAACCCAAAAATGGGTTGTTCGATTCGTTTGATAATTTCAGCGCCGATAGATCTTGACAAATTAAACAATTTTACCCCGTGTCACATTTGCTCTAAAAGATTTAGTTTTTGAGATATAAGCCAAAAACTGCATTTGACCCTTATGTTCTATTTTTAGCCATGGCGGCCATGTTTGTCGATGGATACAAACTTCGGATACAATTTATTAACAAGATACTCTAAGGAACATTTAGTTAAAGTTTGAAGGTAATTGGCCCAGTAGTTTCAGAGGAGAAGATTTTTAAATGTTGGCAAACTTGATGAACAAATTGGGTTAAATTGTCTTTAAAGGGCAATACCTCCTTAAGGGGTCAATTAACAATTATGGTCATTTAACTTTTTTGTAGATCTTACTTTGCTGAACATTATTGCTGCTTACAGTTTATATATATCTATAATAATATTCAAAATAATAACAAAATACTGCAAAATTTTGTTAAAACTACCAATTCGGTGGCAGCAACCCAACAATGGGTTGTTCGATTCGTCTGAAAATTTCAGAGCTGATTGATCTTGATCAATTGAGCAATTTTACCCCTATGGCAGATTTGCCCTAAAAGCTTTAGTTTTTGAGATATAAGCCAAAAACTGCATTTGACCCCTATGTTCTATTTTTAGCCATGGCGGCCATGTTTGTCGATGGATCAAAACTTTGGATACAATTTATAAACTACATACCCTAAGGAACATTTAGTTAAAAATTGAAGGTATTTGGCCCAGGAGTTTCAGAGGAGAAGATTTTTGAAATAGTTTACGACGACAGACGACGACAGACGACGACGACAGACGACGGACGACGACGGACGCCTAGTGATGGCATAAGCTCACATGGGGCCCCGCAGGGCCCCGGTGAGCTAAAAACGACAAACAAAAAAATAATAGAACATAACATAGAAAACTAAAGACTAAGCAACACGAACCTCAAATGTTCTACTAGAAATAAAGGAACAAGATCGCGAACTATGGTATTGTCCATATACTTTCTAATTCAAAGAGCATAACTTCATTGAAATAGTTGATCGGCGTTGTTAATCGAATTCTTCAAACGATCCTTTTGGTATATTTTTTTTTATAACAATCCTATAAAAATTGTTGGCTTGAGAGAGTTTAAAACGCAAATTTTCGTAATACCCATATACTAGTATTCAATGGCATACTAAATAATTGATCATAACTGACTTTTCAACACGTTTGAGAAATTTCTGATAAAACCTTTGAAACAAATTTCTTAAAAATCTAACGAGCATTTTTTACATGAGAGTGCTTTATATTATGATACAAGAGCCGATAGACAGACAGATAGACCACCTGAACTTCTATTTTCACTGTACCGCCTTTCGGGACGAAAAACCATACAGCCAAATCCGAATGACGAGGATGTAAGCATCTATAGGTCACATGTATTATAGTATCTCCTTATTCGTAAATTTATATGGTTTAGAATGACCTACTCAGTTCACCAAGTACGTGTATTGTATGGGTACTACTTAAACAATGTGTTAAGTAAGACATACAATTGAAATGTTGGTTTCTAGTGTAGTTTCGTAGACTCTTTAGTGACAGCGACATCAACATTTTTATTTCTAAATTTAAACAGTTGTTGAATTCCTTACCCCTACGCCAAATACGTTCGTTTTCGTCAGTGGTTTTGACATTACTGTTACACCATCAGATTTGAAATCAGCAAAAGTGTTGCTATCATACCATGCTCTAACAAAGAATGAGTACAGGTGGAAATCATTTAGAACTTTCCCTGAAAAATCGCGGCCATAAATAATTTATATTGCTTATGAGTGTTTTTGCGTGTTTGTGCTGTTTTTCTGTGACGTAGTGTTGTCATTTTAACAATATTTTTAAACATTGTCATATAAGCGAGAGGTTTGGCTAGCTATGAAACCAGGTTCAACCCAACATTTTTTCTTAAAATGTCCTGTAACAAGTCAGGAATATGGCATTTGTTATCAAATAGTTCATTTCTATGTATGAAGGCTTTTGTTATTGTTGCACTTGAGTGGTTCTGTAGTTCATTTGTTTCTCCATTGGTTTTAGTTGTTACTCGGATTTGTCGTCTCTCATTCGATTTATGACTTTTGAACACCGGTATACTAATGTTGCCTTTATTTACCACATTTATAAAGCGGTAAATTATAGACTGAACAGTCAGAGTCAACAACAAACGTCTTTTTTGAATTTGGTTCACAAGTGGCACAGCTGACTTTAAGGTAATAGTTCGTTATTAAAAGCAATAAGTAACCTTTAGCTGCTTAACTCCTCTTCATTTTGATTATGTTTGATAATTGTCTCTTTGGCACTCCTACCACATATTCATATTTTTATATAACTTTTACTGGGAGGAAATGCAACACTGATGATATTTTTTTTCACATTTTACTTTTATTAAATGTATGTGGCCTTTTGATTGATACCACCGTTTCAATGATATTTTTCTTATTTCGAATAGCCAATTCAGGTTATTTGGCACTTTTCTTACTTTTACATTTTCTTTAAAAATTAGATGAGGTCAAAAGTTCCTTTTTAGTTGAAATGAAAATATTGCAATGGGTATATAAGTCCTATGTGTAAACTCTTTACCATAACCATGTACTCATCAGCAGTTACACTATAACCAAACTAACATAGTAATTTGTTTGCAGACGATATGTCCAAAAAATTTATTCCGAACATACTTTGATAATAAATTTATAATGTAAAAGTTGTTTATTGGTAAAGAAAAATAGACATATACGAAATTTTTTAAACTGCAAAAAAGCAAAAAAATTGAATAATAGAAACGGGCCATTTTGTACATATACCAAAGGGAAACTTCGTGCAAAGCATGATTATTTATTGTTTTATTGTATTTAATAGAAAACTGGGATTTTTTGGCTAATAAAAATAAGATTTTTGTAGAATATCCATAGACTTGAATACAGAGATTTTCGTTATAAAATTATTAACATAGATTACTCACTTGTTTGTGCTAACGTTAATTTTTTACAAAAAGTTCTTAATAATCTTTACAATCCCAAAAACCTCACGCTAAGTCAGTAAAGTCGAGTGCACCCTAGAAGGTGTACTTGATTTGCTCCATATTTATATTTGTTTTAACCAATATCTTAATTTATAAACTTGTTTTAGGGAAATCAATGCTAGTACTGCATGCAATAATCCTCTATCTATCAAGCACCGAATTGTCAAATATTAGAGTACAAGAGGAAAAGCTGTGGATTTTCTATAAAATTTCCATATGTTTAGCATGGAATCAACACAAGGGTACATAATCATTAATAACGTTAATTTAAATTTACCTCGAGGCAAAGTGTAGATTGCATTATCTATCTGACCACAAGGATGCCAAACGTTTTCCACAGAGCTGTCAATTATTCCCTCCGGTTCATTTGACTCTGTTATTCCTACACTCCATTCATACCTGTGTCAGCATACAATTTATAGTAAATATATTTAATTTAAAACTAAAACAAAGGTACTCATTAACAATGTTAACTAGTGCATATAGTAAATTTGTTTATGCATCAGTGATTATGTATGAAAAGAAGCAAGCAAATACTTCAATGTGCCACGAAAAGAATAATAGCAAAATATAGATGTCATAGATACATGGGGTATGTCAAGGAGACACGCGTTTTATATTTGATCGAGGTGATCATAAGTCATTCAATAAAAATGTATGTACAATCAATTATATCAATGGCATATTTTCACTTTTACGTGTATGATGAATGCTTATTATCCGACCTTCATTTGCCGTGAAAATATACAAAAAATCCTTTTATTTTGTATGATTTGTATCAGGTTTTTAGATTAGAAAATGTAAATGGAGAATAGCAATTAGTTATAAATGTAATATAAATTTATATGCATATTTGATAGTCAAATAATCTATTTGCATCCACTTTTCATTACACATGACTCAAACAAATGGCCATTAATATTTGATCATTGAAAACGTTTTATACCTACCACTGTGGCAATAAACCCTGAATCTGAACAATTTTCCATCGTGCTGCTAGTGCGTCATGTGATGGCGTAAAACTAAAATCATCTGCTTCTAATTGTCGTATATCAGTCACATCATATATAGCAATTAAAGTGTTGGTGTTATCTGAAAATTTCTATAATCATTAAATTACTTTACACATTTTATTTACATATGACTTAAAATAAATATAAGGATTGATTCTTTTCAATCAATATATCCAGATGAATAACACAAATTTAAGATGAACTACAATTTTTTTAGTTACAAACTTTTGCACAAAATTAAATTTTAAAGAGACCATGTAGTGAAGGCAATCATAAGTTGTTAGTTTTACGGAGGATTTACTGGAAAACATTGCACTGATAACCATGAAACGTATAAAAAAAACTGTTTTTTGGTAAAAAATTAAATTACTACAGCAGAGGAAGGTTATTAGAAAACGTTTACTTAATATAAGGTGATTTGTCAAAAGTGAAGACAAACTTTCCTTTAGATAAAGGTTGCAGTGGTGGGTAAATTGAATGACCTTGTGTTTTTTTTTTTTTTTTTTTGTGTCACAGCGCAGACCAAAAAGGCCTTTAGTTGCAAATGCTCTCGCAACGATGTGTGCAGGTAAAACTGTATAGCTCCAGCAACGCATCATTATGTTTGTTTGTCTGTACTCTCTGAACTCTTTCGTTAGACTTTATGTAACTGTCATGATCATGTTTTTCAGTGGTTGTCTTTGGTTCATGTTTACGTAAATTGAATTCTATTCATTAGTTATGCCGTAGGTTTTCTCTTATTTGTATTATTGTGAAATGTATGAAAGTACCTATACCATAGATACAAAAACAATTTATGATTCAACATTCTAAAATGCTTTCTTACTATTTGTATTGTCTACACATGGCGTTCCTTTAATTGGACATCTTTGATCTTTTGGAGCACATACACAGTGTCCTCGACATGTGTTAGAAGAGCATCGTCTTATCAATTCAAGCGAACCACCAGGAATCAAACGAAATTGACCGTGAATCATGTCACTTTGAAGTCCAACCTAAATGAAATGAAAAACCAAGACCCAAGATGATTACATTTTTTTGTAGAAGATTGTTTATCATTACCAATTTATTTATCTCTACAGTAATAATTACCTTGTAATGCACCGACATTGCACGGGAAACATTTTGATGCGGCAAGGTAACACAGGAAGCCTTATATTAGATCATGATACGAACATTAATAAACCATTGTATCATTGTCGTTATTCAAGTTCAGACTTAAGTTATCATCACGCAAATACATAAACCAAGTATGACACATTAAGAATCGTCGAATTTGTCACAATTAATTTGAAAATACACATTTAAAAACCAAGTTTGAAATACATGTAATGTAATGCAAAATTAATGCAAGATTTGTACTGAAATAATGTTAGAACCATCTTAGTTATTGGGTTAGGTCTATTGATTGTAAAGTTGAGTACCATTAGCTTATCTGGTTTGTTGTTATGCGTACAAAAGTAATTTTATATTGAGAAGAATAGTGGCATCAATAATAATAAGAGTTCTTTTTAGTCAACATCCTCCGTGATCAGATTATTTGAAACAGCTAATTCAGAGCATGTTAGAATTAAAAAAAAAACCATTTCGATTAAATTGAAAGTATCATTAATTCATTCATTCATTAATTCATTCATTTATTCATTCATTCATTCATGCATGAATAGTCAGCATACGCCTACCCAGTCGATAAATCTGGCCTCGCTTCGTATGGATATCATCCGATTTCCACAGTTCATTTTTTTATCGTATTGTTTAGATTCAAAATAGATTTGAACAACGAAATGCATTTGTTGGCCAATATTGAATGTCTTACATTATTTAATGCCCAAATACTGATGAACACATAATTGTAGTCAGTTAATTTTGTTGTATCTACTTCAAAAGTCTGCACTTTACCCTCGTCTCCCTTGTCTACACCAGAACCATTGTGGTGAAATTTCTCTGGCTTATTTTCCTACAAACACACAAATTATTTAAGGTAGAGTCATGGTATATCGCCATCTTGGATTGCACAATCGCATTACAAAATAGGTCTAATTTTTTGCTCACATCTGCAAATTTGGAGACAGATTTGCAATTTATTGGTTAGACAGTTTATTTATATAAAGAAAACTTAGCGATTTATTGCATTTTTCAAAATGTTTAAATAAATTCCAAATATTTGTGTTTTCAGAATCAATTTTTCAAATTAGCCATTTAAGGGGAGATAACTCTTTTAGTAAAAACATATACTGGACGGATATGGAAATTTTGAATTATTTACTTGTAGCAAGAAAACAAGTTTGGTGACACTATTTTTTATTTTTATTTTCTTAAAACATATGATAAAACCTATCTTCTCATATTTTATTTCAAAATTCTATCTCATAGATTTCTTTTTACGAACAAAAATGTGTTTTTTCATGAACAATCTAAGCAGATTTGGGCAATTTTGAACGACTCATAGCTTGAAAAATAGCACGGTGACCCATACTTTTTATTATATTTTCGAAAAAAGCATAGTATAATCTTCATTTTGACAAAGTATAAGAAAATTCTATCCGAGGACATATATAACGATGATCTACTTTAAATTGATCGTAAATAAATCAATGCATGGTTTTTTTCGGTTTCATGAAATCCCGATAAAGTTACAAATATAAAATAATAGTATGCTTGTTTTAATGCTTGTACTAAGATAATTGAATATTTGATCTTTATAAAGTAGAGGTCAACAATGTCAGTTGTATGAAATAAAACGAATATAACATTACGTGAACAAATGCTTATCTAAAAATCTATCACGTATTTTAAACAAGAATCAACAAGTACACTTGCTAAGAATATATAATAGATTTAAGATTGATTGAATGATTGTTATGTTTTCAACGCCATTTTCAACACTATTGTGATATTTCGTTGCGGTCAGTTTTTTTTTGGTTGAGGAAGCCGGAGTGGCCGGAGAGAACCAACGACATTCGGTTGGAAAAAAATAGATTTAAGATGCATTCCAGAAATAACTTTGTAGCCTTTGAAATTGTAGGAAGTAATTTTGCAAGTAAAACCTAAAATGAGAAGCCTGTAAGCGCACTGTCAAAATATACTCTCAAATCTTGAAATTAAATTAAATCCAACAACTGCTTTAAAAATATCAGATATAGGATGCCAAAATACCCTACATAATATATGCATCAACATTCTATGATTCATTACTTTGTTTAAAAAAATAACTCAATATCATTATCGGTAACAATTTTGCTGCAACAGAATGATGCACATTAAAATCTTTTCAGACAGTAAACGTAAAATTTGTATAATAATTGAAAAGGATCTCAAGGTTTATTTAAAATTCATAAAATGACTTTCTGTACTCTAAATAGAATGATATTAGAAGGAAAATTAAAGGCATAATCTATGAAATTGATACTAAACGTACACTATTGAGATCGTCAAGCATATATCTACTACCAACTGATACCATATAGTAATCTATACCAGAATGAAGATCAGAAAAACCTATCCATGCCAGCCATAATTTAAATGTTGACCACTTCATCCACCAACCATCAACATGGCGATGTAGGCTAGCAGCGTGTTTCGTTTCGATAGCAAATGTTCCTTTAAAAAATATTGTTTGTGCAATTAAAGACTATAGGTTTCATTACGAGTGAGATAGGGATATCGCTTGATATAAACTCGATTTGTTTAATTCTTATATTATTATAAATGAACTAGTGATGTGATAAATATTTCATTTAATTTAAATATCGGTTGTAAGTTGGTATGAAGCGATATCCTATTCTCACGAGTTATTCATCTTATGTTTCTAATGGTAGACTTTCTCTTCGTGTTGAATAGAAATTCTGTAACTCGCTGATCTTTTGCACATAACATTATAGATTGTCCTGTTTCGGCGTCAAACTTATATATCATACATTTTAAGACTTTATATTCGCTTCAGAATGTAAAACAAATTAACAAAATGATTTTTAGGTGCAAAGTGTAAGAATCATGAATATAATTTAAGAAATCGCATAATTCCGTTGCATGATTTTAACCAATTAAAAACTGAGATCAAAAGAAACGCGTATTCATTATGAAAAAAATCAATCGACCGACAATTAGAGCATGTGAATCTCCCAAAAATATATTGATTGATTGAAATCAAGAAACACATATTTTTTTACCATAATTCAACTGCTGCTCAGACAAATTGATGTCAAGGTTTATTTAGTACTTGTCTTCATATTTTTTCATAGAAATAAACCATTTTTGGCAAAATTTATAAAATCTACAACTATTTTTTTCTGCCAATTTCCGGCAATCAATATCAAGAAAAATGAGATCATATGTATCGAAGAGGCATTAGGTTCAATTTAGACAATAACTAAAATATGACTCTATTAGTTATTAACATATATAAAAGGTGAATTGTAAATAATATTTCTCCACTAACAGTCCGTTCAGTTCAATTTTGTCAAAATAGGTTAAAACAATCGCTAATGTACAATTGGATTTCATTTGAAACCGTGTGTATGTGACTTTCAATTCGACCCATAGCTCGATATGGGTAACGCATGCTCAGAGCATTAGAGAATTAGAGCATGTGCTAATTAGATGACGTCAAGACTTATATTCACATAAAATGCTGATACGTTATAACTAATCCATTAATTGTTCATTTCTTTTGATATTTTTGTAATTTGAATATACATTTTGGTACGTTATAAATCAGATATGAGAAATTGATTCTAATTGATTAACATGAGTTTGACAGCTATACTCCCCTTAAAAGTATACATTTATTTGCATTATATTGTAAATAAAAATAAAGATATATATGATTTATGCCTCTGAGTCAAATGCCTAACGACAAACAATAAACAGTGAAAAATAAACTGACAATCATATAAAAACATATCATTTTGAATGATGTCACTATATTCATGAAGTTTCCCTTTTTCCATGCGAGAATTATCCATCTCAAACTCCACGACTAAGATGGGTTTTTCTAAGGTGAGTTCTCAGAATACAATGACGTCATAAGCAAACGTCATTGCCTTTGAAAATAGCGGTGAACAGAAAACAATTGACCTGCAAACACAAGAAAGTAAATCGGCTACAACTCTTCTCATGGCTATCGAGCTTCCGTGTAATTGTAGCCGAATTGTTTTTCGAACGATTGATAATTTATTTTACCTGTAATTGGCGGAGAGTTGTCGATGAAAATGCCATCTGATGTCTCCTTTACACATACTTTAGCCCCATTACATGCAATAACAGTAACAAAGTATACTCCCCCATCGTGTAGATCCAATCTTGTATAAGTAAAATCACGTACAATTCCATTTAGCTGATACATGAAATAAGATCAAATCATACGACTTACTCATACTATAACTATTTATAAATAACTGAATACTAATAATTTACCAAACTATCCATTAAGTAAATATTTATAATGAATGTTGTTCTTTTTTACTTTGTATTTGTCTCTTATCGAGACTTCAATTCATTCCAATACAACCATGAAGGCGGGTCTGTATTAACATACTATACAATAATCGAACGAAAATATAGGTCTTGACTCATTTCAATGGGTGTATCATTAACACATTTTATTCTGATATCCTTTACTTATAATTATATAAGGTTTCATGAAAAATAATTAAGTTATTTAAGACATGCGAACTGTTTATGTTGCAAACCAAATTGTGATAAAATCCTACAGAAACAAACGGTATGGTTAGCACAAAATTAAAAAAAAAGATTTGGTATCCCCTATATTCAACGATTGTTTAATCCGACATAGGGTTATATGTACAATCCGATACATATTATGTACTTCTATCTTATCTAAAGACAATATGTCAGAGTTATATCATTTTCGACTAAAGGACACCTTATCATACTTTGAAAATTATATTTCTAGAAGAAATATCACACTCTTTTATTGTTAAAAAACTTTTTTTATTTGAGCGCATTTACGCATGTAATATTATACCAGAAACAATTTATGAAAAATCAAAATGACCATACAATTTTTGAATTATTTTTCATACGTCAACATCATATTCTAAAAAAGAAGCCATGATACCTCTGTCGATGTTGAATTAATTTCACCTCCCTTGTGTGAGATCACAGAGATATACTGTCGCTCAATAAAAGATTCCTCGTCATTAACGTCCCATGAGACTTTCAAACAACTCCTATAAATAATTGTGTTTACTCTTCTTGATCCTAACTGCTGAAACAATTCGGGTTTGCGACTGAAGGATGGAGGGGAATCATCAACCAGGAAACCATTTGACGTCGCTTCAGAGTAAAGACCTGTAACATTATGATCATCACTATTTGTATTGATCTGTAGTACTAAAAATGTAAACGATCGTATCGAAAAGGAATCCTAAAGTGACAATTTAAAAGTCGTATCGCTAAACCATATCAATATTGCATGATATTTATTAGAATTATATAATTCAATTACGAGATACATGTCTATGATGTATAATCCAGCAAGAACAACTGTATCTTAACAAGTTCGTTGCCACATTACAGAACCATGCACAACTTATAGTGATTAAAAAAAATGTTTTTTTCATTATTTTATTTAAGTATATGCAAGTAGTCATGCCACTTGTTAAATTTTACACATACCTTAATAATTTGTAGTACAAATTACAATAACTCAATATGAGTGCTGATACGATTGTCCTAAAAATCTTGTCTGTTAGATTTTTTAATGTTCTTTGTTGAAACAAATAAAACAACACAAGAAAGGACTACAATTGTTTTGAATATAAAAAAATACTATTTATATTATTTTACATGCGTTATGGCTCTGTTCCTATTATAAATATAATGTTTTTATAACTCTGGGTATCTACAACTACAATAAATGTACAATATTCTCTGATACCTGCTTTGTTGTAGGCTCGGACAGTTATGTAGATTCTGATGTTTGTTGGAATTTCATCAGTAATACTAGTATTTGAAAACACGGCTATATCTGTCAACGGCAGTTCACTCTTCGATATGATATCATCTCCTCCCATTAATGACCCCACTCTGATAGAGTATTTATTTAAGCCTGATTGCGGATCGTTAAAACCACGCCATGTTGCGGCTACATATGATCTGAAATTAAACACACGAAGTACACTGGAAAAAAAACAGCCAAACAAGATTTCATGATGCATTATGCTTTGGTTTAACTGTATCTATTTTCATAGAATGAACACGATAATCTTTCGAAAACTAAGATCGTTATCTGCGATGAAATTAGATTTTGTACTCGTATGTAGACGACTTTTTTTGTTTTCCGTAATTCTAAAATGCTTTTTCAGTTGGGGTTTTATTTTTTGATCATGAGCATACATATAAAATGTAGTTCCCGAGATACGTGCATCTTTAAAATACTTTTTTACTATGGGGCTTCATTCGTTCTGCTCATTTGAGAATAGATTCAATGAAAAGTAGACTGGCTTGTTGTTACGGTAAGTTAAACATATCCGTCGTCATCTGTGAAACAGATATTCCATAATGATCAACATTTCGTGATGGCTTGCGTAAAATTTTCGAAAGGTAAACCACAAATTCACCTTTTTGGCCCTGGGCTTTAGTAGCTTTCACGTAAGCACCAATAAAATTATGATAGAATATAAATAGGAAAACTCAATATTTATTGTTCTTTTCTTCATTATCAATTTCTTTTGAACACCATACATATATTTTTATCCTTTTTAATGTATTGTAAGGAATACAAATATATTATAATAATATTTAAGTACATATATTTTTAAATAGTATCAGTATTGGCCGTTTTTTAGATACCTTAAAGATTGATAATTTATGTCAATGTAATCTGCTCCATCCTTCACTTTTCCAATATTTGGGGGACTGTTATCAATTATAAATCCATCAGACGTAACAGATGAACAAAGGTCGGCTGTATTACATGCAGTTACTGTGGTATAATATATCTTACCAATAGCAAGATTTATTCCCTTCAAAACAAACTCTAAAATAGAATAAAATATATGCTAATTATGTATAAGTATATAGGCTGGTAAAAAATATCTTAAAGAGAGAGGCTAAAGATACCAAAGGGACATTCAATCTCAAATCAAAAGTCGCAAATAAGCTCACAGAACCACGGTAAAAACGAACAACGACCAAAAGACAGTGCATAACATAGCATAGAAAAACTAAAAACTGAGCAACACAAACCAAAACAAATACCTGGGTAACCTCAGGTACTCCAGAGGGAAAAAACTCCACATGTGACACCCGTCGTGTTTCTCCGGTAAGTATGTTAATGTTAAAAAGATGTCCGTTCTCATACTAATCTCATGGCTTTAAATATTTTAATTGACCATCACTTCGAAAAATTAATGTCTTTCGGAACTTGACTATATACATTTTTAATGAGTTTGGTATTTTTACTTAAACATTTTATATAAAAAAAATCAAAAATATAAGTTTAGGTACCATATATTATTCCAACATCATGTTCTTGTAATACGTCATCACAACCCACACAAGTTCCAACAGCAATTTTGTAAGTTTTTATTGTTGTATGTGGATCATAAAACTCTTTCCAGTAAGCACCAAGCTGAGTAGAGTCTATCTGAAAGTCGATATCAATCGAATTCATCTTATCTTCTTGCAAAAATCCATCAAACACTTGACCAACTTCCGGCGGAGATTGATCATATATGTAACCCCACGATGATGCAGTTATTACTAAATTTGCTTTATTGACTGCCTGTAAGGAGAATAGAAATAAGGTTTAATTAACAGTGAAGCAAATGGTCCATTCTAAATACTTTGCTCCAAAAAACTCAATTTTGAAAATTAAAATTAAAAACATTACAACGTATTTTAAAGTGATGATTACTTAAATTAGTATGTAAAAGACACAATAATTGAAATACATTTTTACTCCATGATCTGTAAATATTGTATAAAATTGATGAAACAAACATAATTGTGATCTATTTCTCATTACTAATCCTCCTGCTGTAAGACTTTAGTACATGAAATGGACGAGTGATACATCTGAAACCGGGTCACAGCGTATAGATATTCACATAATCCTGTAAACAACTTTCAGGAGGCACTAAATTGAAAACTGCAACGAAAGTTTTGTACCTGTGGGAAATTGTGTTGGAATATGTATATATCTATATTCAGTTAACAAGTAGCTGATGCATGTTGCATCCCAAAACGCATCAGACGGTATAAAATGTTCACATGAAGCACGATTACAAATTTCAGTTCGTAGTTCCTTAGACAAATGCGATAGAAATTTAAAGGGATTGACAGACGAGGATATAAAAGAAAAGGTGTCTCCTGCAGCTATAATTAGCATATGTAAATTATATCAATAGTGTATATCTAACCTTGACTGTTAAGAAATATGCATGTCCTTGATGCGCATCAACATCTAGGATAGGAACGCCACAGTCTTCAGTTGTCTCGGTGGATTGTACAATGTCCCCAATATTTGCTTTGGAACCTACTTCTAGCATGTAATATGCAATTCCACTTTCTAAGTCATAAAAGACATCTTTCCAGCTGAATAAATACGTCACAAAATGTAAGAATATTAAAAATCCGTTGCGTTTTGTTTTTAATACACCGGGATATATACTAAGGCTCCGTGTTGAAGACCATACTGTGACCTATAATGGTTTACTTTTATAAATTTTGACTTGGATGGAGAGTTGTCTCATTGGCACTCATACCACATCTTCTTATATCTATTTAACATTCATTCAGTCATGCTGAGTAAACTGAGATTAAGCTTATTATTCTTTATATATATATATATATATATAATTGTTTTCTTTTTAGTATCAAATTTATAATTAAGATCCATTTATTACATCGGAGATCCGTTTATTTGACAATCGCCAATGGCAGTCAGCAGGGTTTAAGATCATTTGTTGTTCAACCTGTTAGTTAAATGCTTTTTGTCAAAAGATACTTTTTCACTTTTTTTGGTCTTTTGGAAAATGTTGTTTGTGCTGTATTTAAACCGCTCTAACAAGAAATTTGTTTTGCATGCAAACCTATAAAAATTGCGGTTTTTATACAACGCAATCATAGGTTTGAACGTTGTTTTCAATTTAGACTTGTATATATATATATACACTCACCATGCTCGAATTTCAGTGAAACTTCTGATATGTCTGCCATCAATTAGAATAGGTCTTGATGTTAGATGCGGTGGAGTGGTATCTACTCTGATGGAGACAGAGTGTGCTATAGAACTTCTTCCAGAAAAATCAATTCCTTATAATAGATAAGTGAATTTAAATAAGATGTTACAACATTTGTTGTAATTAATCTCTATTTTAGTATGTTATTTTAGTATGACGTCCATTTTCACTGAACTAGTACACAATTTTATTTAGGGGACAGCTGAGGACCACCTCAGGGTGCGGGATGTTCTCGCTGCGTTTAAGAATAGTTAGTGGCCTTCGGCTGTTATCTTCACTGTGGTCGGGTTGTTGTCTCTTTGACATATTTCCTATTTCCATTCTCAGTTTTAAGTAAAATGAATGTGCCTTTGATATATGTTGGTTTCCTCATATCAATATTAATTCTTATCTGATTTTTCAATAGCTCTTGAAAGAAAATCGGGGGTGTCAGAAAATTTTTAGATACTGTGAAACATATACGGTAAATTTTTATTGGAAAACGTCAAAACACCTTTGTCCCAAAACAAATTCATTTAAAAGTAATATTCAATAATTTTAGTAATCATTTTTCTTTCTGTTTCCTTCATATTTTAAAAAGTTCATACATGAACAGATATACACACATACCTCTTACAGATGCAAAATAATCATGTCCGTTCTGTAAGTGAAGATTGTGAAATGTTACATGGTTCAAAACACCAACATTTGTGTATTCAACTATATCTGACCCGCCTTCCACAGATCCTGTTAATGACAAAACAGATATAAATTTGGGATAGTATGTTACCAAAGTATTGTAAACTAAAGCATCGAACTCTCAACGTGGTTTTTATCGAATTACAGTCTTCAGTCATGTATCAAATTTTATCTAAGACCTCATAAAGCGTAAGGGTAAATCTAAATGGAAAGGGATCACCGTATTTTCTGATGAAATTTTTGCCAAAATAAGACTTACTGTATTCTACACATACACGATACCGTATACAATAACAAGCCCGGTTAACATAATACCCTCTAGAATTTTCTTACGAACATTTCTATGTGTTTAGCTTTTTTAACGAATGGCTTTGAAACGGATAAGAATTATGAATATTTCACACAACACCTTGGGATGTATATTCAAAATGGATTTACCAGTTTCCCGCAGGCCTAGGGCTGATTTGTGAAACACTTACGGAATTTTTGGTTTTAAATCTTGTCAATTTATTGATTTCTCTTTCCTTTTTTTTTAATTAATCAATTTTATTGCACATTTGCTGTTAACAATTTACTCAATCTACAGCTTCAATTAAGTATCCCTTTAAATTAGTTATTGAATACCTAGGGAAAGATATTCAATAAGGTATATCTATAAAGTAAGTTATATTAATACAGATCAATACATTAGAACAATTCTACATAATTTTTTTTTTACCGGAATACGGTACGTTTCTTAACCTATACTGTATATGATTTTTATTAAAGCTTCACTGAACCGCGAAATTGGTGATGTATTGATCTTTGATACTGATAGCATGACTCTTCATCCGACAATAGAATTTTGAATTTAAAACTTTTTGTTTTGTTTACAACACTGAATTATATAAGAAGTCTTGGATGATGAGGTAAAAATGTTTTTTTTCACACATTATTTTTTAACAGTAAATGTTAAAATGTCTATGATAAAGCCGAAGATCGAAAGTTGATCGAAAGTACACGTAGTCTTCAAATTACACATGTATGCAGTAACGTTGCATTGTGTTGTGTATTCTGCTCGCTCTCCTGCTCATTATAATTTTGCATTGTGAACAGGAATAAACATATTTAATAACAATACTAATTCAGTGTAGCTGTAATAAATTATAAAAGAGTAAAATTGCAAATTTAAGTTAATTTATCTTTCCAGCTGTTCTAGTCATTATGCCACTGATGAGCAACTGGCATATAACATTATATCTTCGAATTTTTCATTAGTTTATATACATAGACACATAAACACATCATATATACCAGGATTTAAATTTTATATTTGCGCCACTGATCCCTCCTATCAAACAATTTGGAAATATATCTTATAATGTCTTTAAAAATCTTGTTGATTGTTATTTTTTTCACTCTTGTTTGAAAAAGGGATCCTTTTCATTGCCTAATATTTTGAAAATATCGAAGTCTTTAGTTATATTTGTCCTACCAATAGCAACTTGGTATTGACGTATTCCAGTACTATGACTTGCTGTACCATATTCTTCAATATCCACAAATGATTCCCAACTCACAAACATATCAGAGGTTGTTATCTGAAACTAGTACAAGCAAAAAAGCAAACTGATAAGACAGTTGGAAAAAAATAGTCATGTGATAATGAAAATTGATTTTTGGGGCAATTCAAGTAAGTCAATGCACATGTAAATTACTATATAGTTCTTATTTTCGCCCTTTTTTATGGGATTCATTTTGCTCAGTCTTTAGTTTTTGATGTTGTGTTAACTACACTGTCCTTTCGTCTGTTTATTTTTTGTTTTTGCCTTACCGTTAGCAGTTTGTCTTTAACTGATTAGTTGAATTTCCCTTTGTCATCTTCCACCTCTCTTCGTTGATTCGTTATAAGTACATGTATTTACCAAACATGTTTTTAGTGAGTTTGAAATTTTTCATTTATTGGTATTACCTTTCTTAATTTATGTAATTAAACAGGATATATAGCGTTTCGATTATTACCGATTGTGCCTTTTTCTTTGAGTATTTATTTTTTGCACGAAGCACAAATTATCATAGAAATATTGCAACATGGGGTAAGATCAAACTTTTGATTTTAGAGTTTGCTATACAGGCAATGGCAATTTCGAAAAAGTGATATTGCGCTACAGATTAACCATAAGTTAAATTTCATATTCAGACGTAATATATCAACATCATATGTGTATACAAATTTCAAGAGTTAAATCTTAAGCAATATCTCCCTTTATAGCAGGCATGGGGCGAATTACATTGCAATGTAATGCATTATATTACAATTACTTTGACCAAACCATGCATTATATTACAATTACAATTACATGCATTTATCAAAGTAATGCATTATATTACAATTACTTTTGCAAAGTAATGCCTTGAATTGCACATTACATTTGAAAATTTTATTAAGTGAATAGAAAATTAAACATTTTGAAAAACAACTAGAAGTCACAAAAGATTCAACCGTATGCAGTAACTGTTCCATGAATTGAATATAAGTATACATGTAAAAAGTCTATTTAATTCGACTTTTACAATTTTAATTATTTGAACTTAATGTTGACTTTACTTTTATAAATATACTTTTTGTTGTTTTTTTTTATTTTAAACGAAATATTTAATTACTGTGAATTACTTCCCTAATTATAAAATAAACATAGATCTTAATTAATGAACAATTGTCTAAATGGTGAAAATATTGATTGTAAAACAAACTAATTAGTGTTTTATAACAAAGTTTAATTATCTTTTATTTAAGCAAGACAAGATATTCTTTGATCTTATGACAACAATACAGTTATGCTTTTCAAATATCAATCTTTTTATGTAGGAAAATGTATGAAATAAGATGAAATAAAGAATATATTCTAATGATTAACATATTCTTAGTTAATCAAGAAATCTTAAAATTTTGTTAAGTTAAAACTCAAACAATATGTAAAGATGTAGTATGTGAAAAAAGTAATGACATGTAATGCCATGTAATGCATTATATTACAATTACATGTAATGCACAAATTGCTGCATTACACATTACATGCAATAACTTAGAAAAATGTAATGCATTACCATGCATTACAATTACAAATTTGCATTACCCCATGCCTGATTTATAGATCAAAATAAATACACAGAAACTGCCCTGGTAGTTCTTAGGTTCAATCCGTTTAAAAGTTTCACTTTAAGAAATTACAGCCACATTTGAAAAAATGTTCCAACCTTGTACTCTACTTCTGAAGTTGGTCCTATCCAAACTTTCCCCGTTGTAGGAGGTGTAAGATCAACTGTGATACCATCACTGCATACACTTGTTTCCTCCAGTACTTCTGTGTACGTCTCATACTCAAGAGTTTTTGATGGAGCATGAATGCATATTGTGTATCGTTTACCGTGCTCTAGAGGACTTTCGTCTTTGAATAAAACATTAATATAAGCACTTTCTGAAAAAAAATCATCCATAGGTCAATTATAAATGTTAATAGAAAAAGGAAGATGTGGTATGTGTGCTAATTAGAGAACTCTCCATCCAAGTGACAATGTATTAAAGGTAAACAATCATAGGTCAAAGTACAGCCTTGAACGAGGGGCATTGGCCCAAACCGAACAGCAAGCTATAAATGGCCCAAAATTAACCTGTTTTAAAAAAAATCAAAGAGGAAAGCCATCAGTCTGGTGTATATAATAAAAAAACCAAGAAACCACATCAAAAAACGACAACCACTGAATATCAGGATTTTAAGTACTTTTGAAAATTAGATTAGTTGTATAGCTCTTTATAATTGCAACTCCACGAAGAGTTTACAATACTAACAATTATGTCATTAAATATCTCTCATGTCCTACAGAATTCACCTAAGTAATTTAGGGAACATTTTAAACAACAGAATAAGTTTTAAAATTAGATTTTACAAATAAAATTCTTTATGATCAATACTCTTTTTTTTTCATTTCATACGTAATAAGAAGCAGTGTTCAATATAAAAATGTAATCATTTCCTGGAAAGAATTGTTGTATTACCTTTGTCGGAAAAGTTTGGCATGTCCCTTGTAAAAAGTCCTTTAGCATATGATGAAAGTGCTGCTAATTAATATTACTATCGGCAATTTGTACATTTTTCATTTGATCTTACTGCCTAGTATTTGTTAAGGTAATGGACAGGATTTGATACTCGAAAATATCAGGCAATGACGTGACGTCACGTATCAGTGCATCAACGTCGCGTGTTCATGTCCATATATGATATACTTCTTGATCGAAACAAATGCAATTATTCTATATTTAATATTTTTTACTGGAGAACTTTTACATACATAAAACATACACCTTAGTTACTTCATTTTTCGTATCATGTTACACTATTGTTTCAGGTAAGGGTGAAGGATGGTACCCATTAAAACGTGTAAACCCGCTGCATTTGTTTGGACCTGTTCTACGCCAGGAACCTGATGTTCAGTGATTGTCGTTTGTTGATGTGGTTCATAAGTGTTTTTCGTTTTTTTTTTTAAATAGATTAGACCTTTGGTTTGATATCCCTTATAGCTTGCTATTCATGGTGAACCAGAGTTGTCTAATTGGAACTCATACCACATTTTCTTATATTTATGTCCAAGATTGTTACAGTTGTACTAATCTATACTTTACCATTATCAGACTGACCTATGTAGAGATAATTTTGATGTAACGTTTATGTCTACATTTTCACCAGTTGGCATGCTTTTTTTATTTCCTTTCATCATTACATATATAAATACAAGTGAGACAGCTACAGAAACATGTCTATGTCAATTGTCTATCAAAATATGATACAAACACCAGTGAACAAGATTTATCATGATACAATGTAATATGCTTCATGAAATAATAAAAGACTCCACTATGATGAATACAAAATTTGATAAAGCAAAACGTCCATCACATGAATGTATTTAAGCTTTTGATTTTGCCATTTCATAAAAAACTTTCCATGTTGAACTTCCCTTGCAGTTTGGTATTTTTGTTTTATTATATTTAACGTGAAATGCTAGATTTTGATTGGGTAATACTAGGGAGATAATTTACTTTATCTATTGTTTCAGTTGGCGACAATTTCTTTGAATGTCACCCTCTCGTGCATTCAGACCAATCAAAAATCGACAATTTTAATGACAATGAATTGAATTTACATCAATAATTATAAGAAAATGCTCATGGTCATCGTTCTAGCCTCAGAAGAACTTTTTCGTAGACTGTCAAAAGAAAATTGTCCATTTTGTTGTTTTTCTAATAACTGTTACGCTGTTATGTCCGTGACGTCATAGTTAAGTACTTTAATTTTGAAATTTAATCGTAAAAGACAATAATGATAGAACATTCAGTATAATAAATTAAATAACACACCTACAACACTCTATTGTCAACCTCGGCTCCGCCTCAGTTGACAATGTTTCCTAAGGATAACAATCTACTGTAGCACCCTCTCAGCTATGTGCTATTTATATAATATTACTTTTCACATTGATATCTAAAACATCTTTTATAATGAAAAAAAATCAATAACAATTTGCAAATATTTTACCAGTATGTCCACATGTAACAACATCAGGATGTGAACATGGATCTGAAAGACGAATGCTGTTGAAATCCTTGTAGTACGTTAAGGCATCTAATGTTTTCATTTCAATCACTGCCCAAGTAAAATCTTTATGCTGCAGTGAGTGCCACACAGCACTTAAAATGTTTTTATACGGAGTGTAATCCGTGTCTTCAATATTCCATCCTCCAGTTTCTTCAAGATATATTTCTTTACCATATCCATCTATTATTGAACCGTCTAAAATACAAAAAAAAAGAACACTTTAAAAGATTTTGACTTTTCGTATATTTTATTTATTGTTATAATAAAATAATTTGTGAAACTCTTGACTGATGTTTTAATTGGATTTTTTAAATGTATAAATACTAGCAAAAGTAAAATAAACACCCATGTTTTTGTTGAGAACATACCTCCGTTCAACTGCTGCTCTCCTATAACATCTAGGACTATTTTTGGAACAACATCTTTACCATTGCACGGTTTTATTTCAGCAAATGTTGTCTGCCACACACCTGCTCTATTATATCCACGTAAGGCAAATATACGACATTTTGAAAAATCAATCTGCCCAAGCAAATGAATTGTAAGCTGTGACTGTAAAAAGCAGAACATTTTGCTTTATTGTCCAAATACTCATGATAATAAATCTGACTGGTGGAAGATTCATTTCAAAGTGAGTATACGTATTGAATGCATATAAAGTCTGAGAAAATGTTATCTAAAAATGTTTGAATCTTTACTTGCTATATAAAAAAGCGTGGATTTTCGAACCGATTGATATGTTGTTCTTAACCTTTCCATTATTTGCTACTTTAACACAGCAAAAGGAAGTGTCCATGCCTATTTTTTTGTGTAAACATGTACATTATTCCGATAGGCTCCTTGATAACCTATATTTAAATAATGTTGAAACAACAATGTAGAGTTATAAATAATTATACTTAGATATTTTCCGATACAAAACAATAATATATGCAACTGATAGTTTTAATATCAATTTTATAAACAGTTACTTTAAAGAGCATCTGAGATCACCCTCGGTATGATTTGGTTTGAGTTGCTCAGTGTGGTTTTTTATCTTGAGTTTTGTGTAAGAGTGCTTAGTTGTTCGATGTTTGCAATGACAATGTCAGTTTTATTTTTTACTTATGAGTCTACATATCCATAGGTTATATTTCGCCTCTGTTTAACTACCGATTTTGACGTCCGTCGTAATGTACATAATATAAGTAACATTTATTTAGTTTACAGTAAAAATCATAATAGAAAAAATACCATACAGTGCAAGTTAAACTTGCAAAAGCTGTAAATAAATTTTATAAAATCTGTGATTGTTTTACACTTAACTTATGGCATAAACATATATAGATCTATGATCAGACACTTTATCCAGAAAAATAAACCTACGAAAGAGCTGTTTACTGCTGATATTCCATCTGCTTTTAACCAAGAATAATATATTCCATATGAACTATCCTGCAGACTGTATTCGTAAAGTGATACTACTCGTCTTGCTTCATCTTCATCCACAATGTCCGGATCATACATATTAGCAAATGTTATTTCCATCTTAAAATAAACGCAAAAAAATTCTTTAAAAAAAAACCTTAATATGTATAACGAATGAAGTTGTGATTTACATTGAATGTAATTCAGTAACATATGAATGATTCTCATTTTCTAGTTTATCCGTTTTTTATCAATTTTTGTCTCTTTTTTTTACCTTTTTTATGGTGTCTGTCTGTCTGTTGATATGTTTAACATTGCAATAAAAACCAACATAACAATAGGGTCACAATTAATCGCTACTTAACAAAATTAATCATTGTGCCTTGTTACAGCATAAACTTTAACGTTAAAATAAAAATATTGGGTGATTGGTTGTTGCTTAGTTAACATCTAGGGATAAATTAAAAACACATCTACAATACCTTATCTGTATTGTTAATATGATATTTGTATTCAATCGATATTGGTCCTGCAACAGGCTTGTCTGGTATGATTGTGACACCACTAGTCTTAAGTGCAGGAAAACAGACATCGCCTGCACAAAACTTCAATGATAATCGATATGTTCGCCCAGGCTCAAGTGAAAGATCTCTCGCGGTCAGCTTTGTGTTTTGATTGATCGAAATATATTGGTAGTCCATTTCATTAAATGTGCTCCAGAAATCTGAAATTTTGAAATTGATCATTAGTTTCTTTGAGTTAAATGTCTACAATGTTTATTCAACACATGTACTGTGATAAAATTCGTTTACTTTTTTTAACCTTATACGTAAACCTTCTAGCTAATGTTTTCACAATAGAATTGCATTTGTGTTTTAGAAATAAACAATAAACATTTAATATATATATAATGTTTAAACCTGCAAAAGTATGTATTCAATAACGAAGTGCAATTAAAAAAAAACAAGAAAAAAATAAATGCTTTTTTCATTTAATGTAGATATTTCGTAATATTTGTAAATAATTTCACTTTCTTTATACATGTTATCATTATTGTATCAAACTAACAAACATATACTTTCTTAGCCAATCACAGCGCATAAGATGAGCAAAATAATTACAATCATAATTTTCAAACATAATATGAAAGTAAAATAAAAGTAGGTTAAACAAAGTATAATTTGAAGTTATGATTTTAATAATTGATTAACATCTAATTTAATTTTTTTTTATAAAATAATATATATAATATGTAAAATATATAACATTGAAAATGACATAATAGTATAAATTAATTATTATTTTTTATATCATTTGTGAACGTAGTAGGAAAAGGTAAATGTTACACTTTTGGGATAATTCCAAGTCACGACGACTGTTTTGCTTGCGTACTTTTACAGACACCATCGTTACTTGGTTGACAGTTATGAAATATCTGTGTCACAACTGACTTTGCGCCTTCTCCTTTCCTGACTAATCAACAAAATATGACTTGTCAACTTATTTAACATTATAAGCAACACACCGGGCGACATTTGAGAAGCACTGAATGTTAACTTTTCAGAATATTTGCATACTCCCTGGAATTAATATAGCTTTAAATGTGCCCAATTCTTTTTGTAGATTCATAATTTGCCGTGTGTCTTTTCCATATAATGAAACATTAAGTGACTTTCATACAAGTGAGAGAGATTTAGCAAGCTATAAAACCTGGTTTACTCCACCATTATGAAAATCCTTGTACCAATCAGAAATAGGACAGTTGATTTCCATTCGTTTGATGGGCTTTAGCTTTGATTTTGCCATTTGAAAAGGAACTTTCCGATTTGAATTTTCCTAGTAGTTCGATTTGTTTTGTTCTTTAATTTTTTTCATCACTTTTAGTTTGGATATTGGCTTTTCTGTACTATTAGGTCATTTATATGATATTGGCCATTTGTACCTTATTTAATTTTTATCTTCACAATGTACTTTTGTTTTTATTATTCATGTTATTCTTACTCTTTTGTATGAGTAACTATTTAGTATTTACCACCAAGCCAATGCCGTTCATCTATACTCCAAAACGCATGTGTTATGTATGGTAGATATTCCAATGGAATTTGAAAATATATGCTCAAGACAGTAGTTGATACTTGAAAATCCTTGTCAGCAACACAATTTGGTCGTGTATCCTGTTGAAAGTAAATATAACATTGAAACGTAACGAAATTTCTCTCCTAACCAGATTGGTTATAGCATACGCACTGTGTACTATTGTATTCGCATTTTTCAAAAGATACGCCAGCATAAATTGTTACTAATGATTGAAAATGCAAACCATTTAAATGGTTAGATTGGATAGACGTCCTTTTTGTCCTCTGACAATTGCACTATATAACAAAACACATCAGTTTCGTGGATCTTTATGTTTCTGTATATTTTCATATTTTTTTATGATACATGTGATTATATATACTATATTAAAATTTATACACATAAGATGTCTACTTCCAGTGTCAGCAATAAACGTTGCTACACTAATCTGATTGTTAAATTGATTTCTTCGTCAAAGAGTAAATGGTACTTTTATAACGCTGTAATGCTTCAAAAGCACGTGTAAAATTTACTTTATTATAAGCTTGGCATCTCTGATATCTTTTTTATTGAAAAAGGGTATATATTTGTTTGTGTTTCCTTCAACATACCTGATCATGATGGCTTGCATTTAATGGTAAATTGTCTGGAAAAGATTAAAATGAGGTAGATAATTGCAGCTGAAGCTGATTATAGATTTAAATACATATATAAATACATTTCGGTGTCATTATTTTGTTCTGTACGTTCTCTTTCACCCATCTAGTACTTAATATCAGAGTACCCAAATAGCACCCATTTCGCACAGATGGCAACGGATATATAATACAAGTTGTCTTAAAGATTTTTTTTGAGTATTTTTTTGATTTGACATTATGCTCGTCTTTCAACAAGAGTGACAGAAGACTACTTCTGAATATCATGGTGTCGCTTTTTACCTTTAAAAACTTTCAAGTGCAACTGTAAATACGAAATACGGTTGTAACAGATATATTAGTTTACACTGGGATTAAAACCCGCTTGAACTAAGGCTTAATAAATAAATGCAAAATGAAATCAGTTTACCTTCTGTGATTATGTTGGGTTTTTTTTCAATTATTTAACATTGTATAGACAATTTAATAGGCATGACTTGCCTGTGCAGTTTTCTCCATCAAGAATTTTCAGATCTGGCAATGACCAATTTGGATCCACGATAGTAACACCATCTGAGGACACGAACGCTGATCCCGTCAATGTTTCAGCAAAAACTGTACTGTAGTATCGCTATAATTACATCGTAATGAATTGACACTTATGTTTAATTTTGAAAATGCCTTGTGAATTAAACTACACATTAAGTTTTTTTAGTTGACTTTTTTTATTCTTCCCTTAGTTTATTTATTTTGTATTTACATTGTGTCATAGGTCAAATTTATTTGTTCAGTGTATGTTCAATGGTGTTAATATGTCCTTTGATTGAGTTAAGCTATTTCAGTTGATATTTTATAGTGTGTCTTTCTATGTTGTGATGTTACACTATTGTTTCAGAATAAGGGTGAAGGTTTGGTACCATTAAAACGTTTAAACCCGCTGCATTTGTTTGCACCTGTCCTAAGTCAGGAATCTGATGTTCAGTAGTTGTCGTTTGTTGATGTGGTTCATAAGTGTTCCTCGTTTCTCGTTTTTTATATAGATTAGACCGTTGGTTTTCCCGATTGAATGGTTTTACACTAGTAATTTTTTGGGGCACTTTATAGCTTACTGTTTGGTTTGAGCCAAGGCTCCGTGTTGAAGACCGTACTGTGACCTATAATGGTTTACTTTTATAAATTTTGACTTGGATGGAGAGTTGTCTCATTGGCACTCATACCACATCTTCTTATATCTATCAGCTGGTTTTTGTTTTATTTATTGCATAGTTTAATTTATCAATTCGAAATATTTGTTTGGCAAACCATGTCTTCATCAATTTTTACATTTTGATTCCCAAAATACAATTGTATATTATGCGACTGTCATACGAGTGGGATGTTTAGCTAGCTATAAAATCATGTTTAATCCATTTTCTACATAAGATAATGCCTGTACCAAGTCAGAATATTACAGTTGTTGTCCATTCGTATTTGAGCTTTTGGCTTTGCCATTTGATTAGGGACTTTCCATTTTGAATTTTCCTCGGAGTTCCGTATTTTTTTTATTTTACTTTTGTCTTAGTGCAGTCGATGTTCTTGTTAATTTGATTAGAATAACAATTCATTATAATTGCTTTCTTAAAAAGAAAATTTGAAAGTTTACACATACTTGAAATGTATATAGTGAAAGTCCAGAGACTAAGTAAAAATTAATATTGCCATTAATTTTCCTCTTTCCAGCAACATCACATATGCCTGCAGCGGTTCCTACACAGACATAATATGATAAATTCGAATGTGGATGATAAAATTTTGTCCAACGAACAGCTAGATGGTCTGTTGTGGCAGTGAAGTCAATATCCTCTATGTCCTGAAAAAGTTAAAAAATGAAAAATGAGTTAAGTTAAATATTATTATTAACATGAAACGTTGATAATTTGGTATTAAATGGCCTTCAACAGCAAGATGTAGCCCTAGATTTAGCGTTGATAAATAGGGATTATTGTTGAAAAGTTTTTAAGTAAATGATAAAAGTACTCTTTGGTATACATATTCTGTCGATAGATGTGTACTTAAGAAAGTAAAATATATTTTATATATGAATATTTGAATATTTTATTCATTCAATATTTTACCCTTTTAGATTTTTATTTTGTTAAAGATGCAGATTCCAGAAAAATAGCCGTACTTTTTACTTGATATAACACAAAATAGTTTTACTACCAAGCTAAGAATGTATACCTTAATTGGAGTAAATGTTGACGAATTCCCTGGAACATCAATAACAATACCTTTTCTAGGCAACACTATATCATGACTGTAGGGCACAGATGTCTGCATGACAGACAAACCGGCAAGATTTGTTGCCTTGATTGTCATGTAGTACGTATGATGTCCATTTAATTTCCAGTCTAGCTCAGAAACATTAGTTGCAGTACAAATATATTTCGATGAAAGGATGCAGGGACCCTCTTCAGTCACCAAAGAATACTGCTGTATATCTGTAGAGTACGGTTCGTGCCCTGCAATAATTAGTTCTTTTTTACATTTTCATTTTTGTTTTAAAATCATGAAAGAGAAAATAACAGCTGCAGTAATGACTGATAAGAACTCAAATATATCGATAGTAGGTTTATTCTGTCCACCTCCTTATAAAGGCAAGTGTCATCATTATGAAAATCTTAAATCGCAAGACATAAGTTAAAACATGTTGTAAATAACCAGACTCCAATATTTGATAAATTGAAAAATACCGACCAATTATATATTGATCTGTTTAATGGTGGCGGGGTGGTTAAAAAAGAGGGACGATAGATACCAGAGGGACAGTCAAACTCATAGATCGAAAACAAACTGACAACGCCATGGCCAAAAATAAAAAGACAAACAGACAAATAATAGTACAGATAACACAACATAGAAAACTAAAGACTAAGCAACACGAACCCCACCAAAAACTGGGGGTGATCTCAGGTGCTCCGGAAGGGTAAGCAGATCCTGCTCCACATGTGGCACCCGTCGTGTTGCTTATGTTATTACAAATCCGGTAAATAGTCTAATTCGGTAAGTCATATTCGTGAAAAGGGAAGGGTATTGTAGTTACGACATAAGGAACATATCCGATATCATCTGTTATCCGATATCATCTATTTTAAACGTATGATGGCTTTAACTGCTACCACATTGTCGTTTGCTATACATCCAATCAGTAGCTATCACTTCGGTTTTGGTTTTTATTGCATGATAGACATGGTATTTTTTTGTCTACAAACTGTGTAGTAATGCTATAATTCCATCTGTAGGAGGATATGGTGGTACTTGTTCATGATGTTATAAAACCTTTTTGTCTAAGTAAGTTTTAAAAAAGTCCGTATTAAATATGAAATATTCTTTATTTACATTTACCTATAGCAAATTCATATTCCAGCGAAAACGGACTATCGCTATCAATAAAACTCACAGCGGACCAATTTGACACAAGGTAATTTCCAGAAAAATACAAATCAATACATGTTCCCACAAACTGAGGAGGTGTTGTGTTAAGTATGAATGGACCAACACTCTGCAAAATAAAATGTAATTGATTGACTTATTTTCCTTAAAGTCGAGCTGCAAATATAATCTGCATACGCAGGACATGCGGCTCCTATAAAATAAAAAAAAACTTCATTTATTTAATCTTTATCTAATAGACATTTCTTATTATTCTGCATGGATTTTCATTGATGTTTTTGCAGTACCAAATGACAAGATGAATATTTATTTACTTTGACTCTGTTTATTTTGAAAGAACAGAATATATACAGATAACATATCCTATCAATGTATTTCAAAGAATATTAAAATTTGTTGTTGTTTTGATTTTTTGAGACGAACATATTTAGAAAATAATGGGGTAAATGATGCTTTAATTGACTCACCTGAAAACCGTTTACATTAGATTTGCTTATAGACTTTATAATGATAAAGAACAACATCCCTTCTGGAACTCCAAAGTGATTTATTGAGATGTGTGTATGATGCTTAGACGACTGGAATGCCATTAATTCAGGCGCAGTGCTCCCCGAAACTTTTGAAAATCCAACTTCATAATCATCAATAAGTGACGCATCTTCAACTGGTGCCCAGGTTATGTTCAACTAAAACATATACATGTCACTAATTCAAGCGGAAATTATATGATAAGTAAAAGAAATTCCTGTAAAGGTTAACTTCATTTACAACACTTAATGAGTTTACTTTAAACAATTAATGTATAAAATACAATAGTGATCACTGTTCACAAATCCTTTATTTAACACTAATGCTAATATATAACATTTAAAGTTTCATTAGACTGTTAACGAGCCAAAATGTATATCAATGATGCATTTTGTCTGCATCTTTCTTGGCCTGCATGAAATTATTCTTTATTTAAATAGTTATACATTTTGTGAAGGAAATTGTAATGGAAAAGTATAAAGGAAAAATAAATACCATATGTATTTTAGGAATAACTCTAGTAACTAAGGTAGAATACGAGTTGGTCTGCATGCAAACGTTGTCAGCATTAATTGGTGATTGGGAGATAGGGAATACTTCAATATTTTCGGTCAGCGGATCTGAAAATCTTTAATGACAATAAAAAAAATATGTATATTAATAAATAGTGTAGAGATAGGGTTTGTTGTTTTCATTTTGTTAACCCTTGAATTTATATTTTACTTTACTTGGATATAAGGAGATGTGGTTATGAGTGCCAATGAGTCAACTCTCCATCCAAGTCTCAATGCGTAAAAGTAAACCATTATAGGTCAAAGTACGGCCTTCACCGAACCAGCAAGCTATAAAGAGCCCCAAAAATGTACTTTATCGGGAAAGGGTAAACTAGTACAGCCTTATACTTTATTTTACTTTATGCACTATCAACTACACACACTTTTTATTGGCGTCTTTGTCAGATTTATTTGTCTGTTTATTTGATTTTGTAGACAGTTGGGTTGTATTTCTGCAATGAATCTTACAATGAATTTCACATTGTTGTCCCATAAACAAATAATATGTATGTAAACAACTCTCGTACAAGAGGACAGTTAAGCTAGCTATAAAATTATGTTTAACCAAGCGACTAAAATTATATACATTTAGACCTCAGTTAACACCAGTCAGGTTCTGTAAATTTATAGTTTATGAAATGAAAGAAACAAAATTAACACTTAGGTTTGCCTTAGCATGACATGGCATATTTTTTAATTTTTGGTTTGTTTGTTATAATCTTCAGTTTTGTAAAAAAAGGGCGACAAATATCAAAGGGGCATGCATTCAAACTCATGTCGGAAATAAACAGACAACGCCATGGCTTAAAAAGAAAACGACCAACAGACAAAATGAAACTGATTTGGCCTTCCGAGTGTTTTGATTTGAGTACCAATTTTAGTCTTATGTAGACATAACGTTTGACGTACAAAATTTTAGCCTGGTATTTCTTTTTAAACTTTTGGCAACTGCAATGTCTATACATGTGTCTACTCAGTGCTCAAATTTGCCATTTTTACAAATTTTGAAAAAAATGACGGTTTATCCAGAATAGGTATAAGAAAGATATAGTTAACCAAAACTAAAATCATGTAGAAAGAAATACGCTGTAGTTTCCTTCGAATACAAACTAATTGTATGTCATGTATGGCATGTCAGTTAACTGCTAGTAGTCTGTTGTTATTTATGTATTATTGTCATTTTGTTTATTTTCTTTGGTTACATCTTCTGACATCAGACTCGGACTTCTCTTGAACTGAATTTTAATGTGCGTATTGTTATGCGTTTACTTTTCTACATTGGCTAGAGGTATAGGGGGAGGGTTGAGATCTCATAAACATGTTTAACCCCGCCGCATTTTTGCGCCTGTCCCAAGTCAGGAGCCTCTAGCCTTTGTTAGTCTTGTATTATTTTTAATTTTAGTTTCTTGTGTACAATTTGGAGTTTAGTATGGCGTTCATTATCACTGAACTAGTATATATATTTTTTTAGGGGCCAGCTGAAGGACGCCTCCGGGTGCGGGAATTTCTCGCTGCATTGAAGACCTGTTAGTGCCCTTCTGCTGTTGTCTGTTCTGTGGTCGGGTTGTTGTCTCTTTGACACATTCCCCATTTCCATTCTCAATTTTAATTAATTTTGGTAAATCATGTCTTTCGATGCAAAATTTTGCATAAACCTGAATATTAGCAACATTGTCATCAAAAGCAACAGGCTTATATTTTTAAGTAGCTGATTATTTACGTTAGATTATCATTTAGACTTTTGAATATTTGAATACTAAGTAAAATGGTTTTTAAAACTCAAAAATGTGAAGTTTAACGAATTCAGGGAAAATTGGCTCTATTTTGGTTTCAATGCTTTCGAATCTGAAAAAAAACCAACACTTCATGAAATTGTGGTGTCCGAAGTTTCTTTTGGGGGGTTTCATTCATTAGGAGACAAACATGTAAAACAACAAAATCTTATGAAAAGGTATTTAATTAAAAGGAGTCTAAATGAAATACCAAACCAATTTATGGTCAACTTTGCAAGAGGTAGTAAGACCCTTGACTTTTTTATATTTTTTATAATTTTCAGTTTTTAAACGTCGAATTTGATTTCAGAAGTATATAAAAAATCAGGCTAATACTTCTAAGATAATGATACCCTGTACATCTTCAAACCTAACAGTTATTTTTTTGAAATTCAACAAAATTAACTGTCCAAAATAGGTAAATTGGATATTTTTCCCACGAAAACACTATCCATATCGATGGAAAACAATAAAACAACGATGAAAATAATCACAGGTCACCGAACGTCATTCGACGATGAACAAAACTAATACCGTATAAGCCGAAAATGTTAATAATTCAAAAGAGAAAAACAACGGCCTAATACATACTTCAACAGTTAACGAAACACAAATATAGCAGACAGCAACTATCAAAACTGGATTAAATATTCCTAAGGAAATGCATGAATAAAATGTCAAGGTTTAACATGCTTCTGAGTGCTAAATCCCCCTAGTTTGTGAAACAACATAGCATGAAACAAACTAGGATGAACTCAACTGAAATTGGCTTTGTTTATCAGTTTTTCAAGAACAACAAACAAAGATAAATGGCATTTACTGGAAGCTACCTGAACTAATAAACAAATAATGTCATTCCAGATTAAGATAATTTAGTTTGAACTTGTTATAGCAGTTTTAGAAATGCGTTAACTTGTAATTCACGCATGCTCATTTATTGAGATATTTCTCGTTTTTTATATAGATTAGACCGTTTATTTTCCCGTTTGAATGGTTTTACACTAGTAATTTTTGGGGCCCTTTATAGCTTACTGTTCGGTGTGAGCCAAGGCTCCGTGTTGAAGACCGTACTTTGACCTATAATGGTTTACTTTTATAAATTTTGACTTGGATGGAGAGTTGTCTCATTGGCACTCATATCACATCTTCTTATATCTATATATATTCATTTTTACTTATCTATTTATGTATTTTTATTGATTCGTTCATCATTCTGTTTAATAATTTAAGATTAATTTAAATTCATTATATCAACACATACTTGCATTTGCTTGTACTGTTTCCCAAATGATGCCGCTTAAGGTTTTTATCTATATACCACTCTTGGCCATTACTTTCTCTAACAATACGTGGTTTTGTCCTTGCATTCATTATAATCACATTTTTAACTGAAGGAATTGTGGTTGTAATGGTTACACCATCTGAGCAAACTGGTTTAGACATATGAAAGGCTTTATTGTATGCAACCACTGTGACGTAGTAAGTTCCAGGGCTTGGTGCGTCATACGTTGCGAATGTATTAACTCTATCGTTCGTCTATAATACAAATTCGAAGCAAACATAATATAAAAACATGTTTTAATCTGGTTATACATGTACATCTGTACCAGCATATCAGTAGTTATGTCAACTCCATAAACATTAGCACCGTCGACAGGTGCACAGACCTTTTAATTCTAATATGAATGACAGCAATATGTCCTTTTAGTATACCTCAGTTGTATCTAGGGTTAACGTCGTGTGGGACATAGCCTTAGCATTCACAATATTAAACGCGAAAGAGTATGGTTGTGTTTCTGCTGTACGATAGTTGATTGAGCCCCGACATATATTGTCTTGTCTCTTTCGGTATAACCAAACACTAACTGACTAGATATTCGTGGAAAAGTAAGTTTATTGTCGCCTTGGATACAACTTGCCCTCGGCTACAACACAGGGTAATAGGTGCACCTCGGGGACAATAAATTACTATTCCACTTATACCCAGTCAATAAGTATAAATTGTTTATCCACAGTAAAAAATCATATCAGTAATTGTTACTGTTTCTGCATATTTTTTATGAATTATAAATTTCGTGTTGATCTCAAATTTAAAGTTTTATCTGTTATTCTTAACATGGCTAAGCAGACGATTTGCTTTGTCGTCTGTCATAGGCGCTGTTCATCATCAAAGTACTAAGGAGATTTTGTATTGTCTATTGGCTGTTTTGGAACATTTTGTCATGTTGGGTTCCATATCATAGAAATAACATATGACATAACAATTGACTGGGAAAAAAATGAAATTCCATGCGCTGCTTAACAGCTTGTATCCAAATTTTAATCTTTTTTAAAAACAAAGATTTTTTTTCAAAGTTTCCTTTAAATTAATTTTAATTGTTTTGCTGTTCTCTGAAAATACGAACCAAAGATTTGTGTTGAAAATGTTCTTCAGTAAGACAGACATCTGAAAATTCATACTGATAGAATGCAACACCACTTTCGTGGTCAAAGAATCCTTCCCAATGAGCATCAAGCCGCAGGTCTTGTTGGAAATCGACTTCTGGACTACCATACACCCCATCGTTTACAAATCCAGCCTCTGGAGGGGTTATATCAAGAGTTATCTGAAATAACTCATATATGTTATGAAATAGATAAGTTCAAGATTTATAATTTACTAATTTTCATTTCGCCTCTGTCAACATACAAACTAGAAAACTGACATGTCATTATAGGCCCTGCTTATACATTCTTGTGTGAGACACAAAGACTGGTACATAAAAAGCAATTCATGTTCATGGATAATCAATTGATGTTTTCTCGATAAATATAAGTTATGTAAATTACAAACCTCTACATGTATGTATTATGGCCAATCGATATTGTTTTTTATAAGGAATCATTTTGAATAGCAAATGTGACCTTTGTATCAAATTTCATTGAAATCCTAGCATTACACTTGTTTCTCAAATTTTACCATTTTTTTTTTAAACATAATATTTCATAATATCATTTTTTAAATCTTACCATCAAATGATTATTTTCTCAAGTTTTCTATTTTTTTTTTTTTATTTTTTTTTTTTTTTTTTGGCACCTTCAGTCACTTTGACATAACATATTACTCCTATAGATCTAGTTTAAGTGAAATGAAAATATAAGACATTTCTGCAATTTGGTGTAAATGTCTCAAGTTAAAACAACGTTGCAAGGGCATGATGCCTTGAAATTCTTGTATTATTAAGCTTACGGGATTTCAGAAAGAGAACGTCCGAACTGTAAAACAAATGTGATTTTTGAAAGTCCAACTTCTATTTTCGAATAAAACTATATAATCTGCGATGTAGGACCAACTTCAGCCGTGAAGCATGACAATCCATTTTTTTTAATTGACCCTTTTTGTCAACGTACAATTAGTACTGGTGAGTTTGATGACAAAATTTAACATACGTTACGGATTGACAGGGTCATCAATAGACCATTTATTCGTAAATTGAAGATTAGTAAAAAAAACATCTTGAAATATCACACGGTACCTACTTTTATAGTCCTAACTGAAACTAATGTTGCCATATTTGTCACATTTACATCAATGAAATAATCCGAATCGTGTTCTCCCATAGATCTATTATGGACTATCCCATTGCCTTCGCCTACTACTATATGTGGCTTGAGAAAGAAGTGTTTGTGGTAACAACCTGTGAACTTGGTACAGTAACAAGCCGGTCCTCTACTGGTATTGTACTTCTCCTCACATTCTGCAAAAGTCTGTAAAAAGTGCATATTTCAATGTAAATAAGCATGTGAAAAAGAAATATGTGTACCTATTTATACATTAAATTATGTAGTGCTTGTTTTTCTCTTTTTTTATAATCTGATAATTGTCTTATGAGTATTGCATCTGGGAGTCGTAATGTTCATGCATGTCTTTAATTAAACAATTACATATACACGTATTCAGACGAATATCTAAACTGATTTTAAATATTCACTAAAAGACATGTAATGTTAGAAAATTCCATTAAACTACATAGTCGTACAATCAGTGCTATGTGTACATTTTTTGTAATATCTATAATTTTATTTAAAGGCAAATATACAGGTTTTGAATACATCAACGAAAGGTTTTGGACTGCCCTCTTTTAAAAACACAGTCAAAAATTGAAATTTGTACATTTACTAAATTAAAGATCAATTCAAAAGTGTGTTGTTATTTAATATTGAGTATCCGTATATCAAATAATTGTATTAGCACCTGTGTTTTGCCTTGGCCTGGTAAGTCAATTTCTCCGTGAATGATATTAGTTCCACTGTAGTTACTATATAACCTCCATTTTAAATGACTTATTCCACTATGGTAGTCATATGCATCCCATTCAATTCTGAAAGACAGGTAGAATAAAAGATTGATAAATGTACTAAATGCAGTATGACGAATGTTCATGCAGACAGTTTAAAAATAAAAACGGATATGACAGAAATATACGATATATAATTTAGTTATGACAAATTATAAATATGCATATTTTTTCCGAATTATTTTAATAGATGTGCATGTCTAACTGATAAAAAAAAATAATAATCTTCCCACTTCTTACACTTCCAAAATTATTCGGTATGCAAGAGCTTGCAGCTCCTACTCAGACTTTGTAAAACGTCACCAGTGTCTGAGCAGAAAGTTGATGAAGCAGGGGTATGTCAAAGAACGTCTCGTCCTTTTTCTGAAAAAGTTCATCCGGAGGTACCAAGACCTTGTTGATAAATATTCCGTATCAACTTATAACAAATAATACATGTAGGTCTTGAAGTATAGATTCTGCGTCGTTCTGACGCTGTTTAACATCTTAATAACGTGTTAAAGTGTTCTTTTATTTGTTTTTATTAATATGACTTTTACTGTTTGGTCTGTTTTTGGTGATATACATTTGACGTGGCTCTGTACTTATGCATCCCGTCATTGTGTTGTTTGTATTATTTTTCATTTTTATTTGTGTTCTTTGTCAGAGTGACATTTAATGTTTCTTTTGATACATATGAAGTGTCTCTGTACTTTAAACATCCCGCCATTGTGTTATTGTTCTATTATGATTTTTGCATACTTTGAACGACAAAATTATTTTATATCTCTACCTGTGTGACGTTGACATTCTGACGTCAAACACGCGATTCTACGCCAGAGTTAATGTTAAAATTACGATTCGGTCCCAGTGTTTAAAATCTCTCGATCTTTATTGGGTTGATTTGGCATACATGAATAAAATACAAAAATAAGTAAGCAATGAACGAGGTTGTTAAATGTGATATATGCTATGTTTTGCTTCTTTGTTAAATATTTGTTTGTTTTTGTTGTGATTAAGATTGTGACATGGTGTTGACTGTTGTAGAGTGGGTGGCGCATATTCGCCTTGGACACATTTTCGCCGTTTTGCTATTTCTTCTGTAAAATTTGTGTGCCTTTACCCAATACTTGCCTAAATAGATGGTAAAGGCTGTTTGTAATGTTACAACTATTGATATTCCTCTTTATCCCATTTCCAAGGTTATTCGCACATATTGAGAAATACGCAGGTGTTTTTAAATGATTTTGGCAATTATGTAAGATTAATATGGCAATCATGCGCAGTCTTAAAGTAAGTATTTGTGAGAAAAATCCTATAGGAATGATCTCTCAAGCTTATTCATGTAACTGCAAACATTCATTTTTATAATATACCAGGATAATGAGGATGGTCATATCATACTTTGCGGCGAAAATGTGTCCCCCATGGTACATGAACAACTTGATTTTCTCTTGAGTTTGCGTTCGTTTTTAGAACAATTAACCAATGTTTTGAAGATAATTTCTTTATCAAATATTTTTTTTCATATAGTTAAAATTCTGAAACCTCATAAAAAGTTCCAAATATTCGAATGTAGGTCGAATGTAAGTGGAAATGAACGAATTATGCGGCGAATATGGGTCTCTCACTCTACCCCTATTTTGACATTTTTACCTATTATGTCTGTTTGTTGTATTCACGCATCGTTGTCAATATAATGGAATTTGATGCGACTGTCATACAAGTGAGAGATTTAGCGCTATAAAACCAGGTTCAATCCACCATTTTCTACATAAGAAAAGACCTGTACTAAGTCAGGAATATGACAGTTGGTGTCCATTCGTTTGATGTGTTTGTGTGTGTGCTTTTGATTTCGCCATTTGATTAGGGACTTTCCGTTTTGAATTTTCCTCGGAGTTCAGTATTTTTGTGATTTAATTTTTTTCGTACTTGTTTAAGCCCTTTTAACTTTTCTGATTCAAGCGTCACTAATGAGTCTTTTGTAACCGAAAAGAGCGTCTAGCGTGTACATTTGAATTTAATCCCAGTATCTATATTGAGTTTTCATAAAACCAATCTGTCGATGCCACTACTGGGTATCACTAGCCAAGTGGTCAACATCTTCTGTGTTCACATGGATTATCATTGATATGGTCATAATATAAATCAACTGTTCAAAAACACGTGTCTGTAGTACAATTTTTAAATATTTGTCCATGGTATCTGTGATGAGTAATCACATGCAAAAAGAACAACAAAATATATTTATATATTTATTTACAGTATTCGCTCAAACGCTAAATGTTAACGCAGAAAATCTTGTACCAAATCAGGAACATGTCAAATGTTGTTCACTTGTTCCCGTGATTGATAGCGTATGATTTTGTCAGTTTTTATGGACTTCCCCCTTTTAGGTCACCTGGCCCTAAGGGCCAAGTCAGCTTTTCTCATCACTTGGCGTGCGACGTTCGTCGTCGTCTGTCGTCGTCTGTCGTCGTCAATCGTTAGTTTTTACAAAAATCTTCTCCTCTAAAACTACTGAACCAAATTTAACCAAACTCGGCCACAATTATCTTTTGCTTATATAGTTTTTAAAAAATGTGTCCGCCTGCCAATTAAAATGACCGACATGACAAAAATAGGGTTAAAATGGAGCAAATCTGACAATTAGTAAAAATGTTCATCAGGTTAATATCGTGTGCCCTGAAATTTTCAGGTGAATCAGACAACCCGTTGTTGAGTTGCTGCCCTGAATTGGCAATTAAGGAAATATTGCAGTTTTTGGTTATTATCTAAAATATTATTATAGATAGAGATAAACTGTAATCAGCATAGAACATAGGGGTTAACTATAGAATTCTACTGGAGATTGTAAAAAAAAAGAATTTCAAACGGTCACAACTTGAAAACTAATTTTAATAATGATAAGGGGTCTTTAGTAACCAGTGTAAGACTAAAATTGGATGACATACTTTTAACTACTGTGCTAAATTAAGCCAAACTTTGCCTTTATCATTATAAGGGTGTTTAATACTATTTATTATGATTTTAACCTTATTTTACATGATTTTCAAACGCACAGTTAATAACGGTGAGCGACAGAGTTTCTTGAGATCCTCTAGTTAAATTTGCCTTGGAAAGAAGTATGTGTGTTATCCATTTTAAAACAAATAATTGCTACATCATTCATTAATATAAATACTCATAAAGAATATCGAATTATCTATAACATCAAATCTTTAGCTTTTTTTTATTTCTTACGTCATTTCGTTGAGTTCTTTCATGCTGTGAACGGCAGTATTAATGCGATCTCCCTTCGTTAGCCATAAATTCGAAATAACTGGTGGCGTTGAATCTTTGTAAGTGATTATCGTCTCATCTCTGTAGTTTTCCAGAATATCAAATGCTCTTATTGTTGAAATGAGTTGGTCCCCGTCATCCCAAATTACATTTCGAACATCAAGTTCTGCATACACATTTGATACTTGCACAAAAGTTGAAATTGACTTGAGCTCGGTTCCATAAACATCATGGACAATTTCAAACCTTACAATACCTATTTCAAAGATAAATGTATTACACTGTTTTTTAAATGATGATTACTTTTTAACTATTTTTACTCTTTATGTCTAATTCAATGGAATCGAAATTTAGTATTGTTTTAAACGAAAACCTTCTTTATTGATTAGTTTAAAACGAACAAGAATGTGTCCATAGTACACGAATGATCCAATCGCACTATCATTTTCTATGTTCAGTGGACCGTGAAATTGGGATCACAACTCTAATTTGGCATTAAAATTAGAAAGATCATATCATAGGGAACATGTGTACTTAGTTTCAAGTTGATTGAACTTCAACTTCATCAAAAACTACCTTGACCAAAAACTTTAACCTGAAGCGGGACAGACGGACGAACGAAGGAACGGACGGAGGAACGAACGGACGGTCGAACGAACGGACGCACAGATCAGAAAACATAATGCCCATAAATGGGGCATAAAAATGATAATCGGCACAAATGCATAGTTTTTAATCGATTTCATAAAGCTCTATTGTGTATGTCTACTACAGGAGTATCTACAGTTGTGTTTATAATTTTTTTTTTAATTTCTTAATCCGTCTTCTAATTATTAACCAACATTTTATTCACCTACTTTTATTTTTTTTTCAAACGTTTCAAGTTCCGTTTTTCAGCTGTAAAAACTAATTTGTCGATTTTGATCATCTACTGTTTCATAATATTCTCTATTTTAGCTTCAATAGTTATCAAAGGAACCAGGCTTATAATTTAATACGCCAGACTAGCGTTTCGTCTACACAAGACTCATCAGTGACGCTCAGATCAAAATAGTTAGAAAGCCAAACAAGTACAAAGTTGAAGAGCATTAATGACCCAAAATCCCAAAAAAGTTATGCCAAATACGGCTAAGAATATCTATGCCTAGGATAAGAAAATCCTTAGTATTTCGAATAATTCATACTTTTGCAAAAAAAAAATGCACTTATTTTGCGTTATTACCTTTTACATTCTCAACACTTTTCGCGGTGCGTTTACCACTTCTGTCATCGTATGTCGACACAATATTTGAATATGGTTGAACTGCCGCAAGCCAATTGTGTTTTACATGATCGGTTTTTATAAATTTGTCCTTCCATGCTACTTCAATGAGAGGACTGGAATCAGTTATCCATCTTCTTTCAAGGTAATGTTGTGTATATTTCACTTCTATTTGTCCTTTGCCAAGATCGATTATATCGTTGTTGTCATAGAGAAAAAAAGCTCTTGCAGTCCTATGATTTCCAGCCATGTCAAAGCAAATTAAATGGACGGCATAAATTCCTGTCTTTGTCACTTCTAATGAAATCTGTGAAAACATAAAAAATAAATAATTGCATCTGAAAGGATTGGTTGATATAATATATATGCGTGATACTGATTTACCAGAGCAAAATTAGATACCGACAACAATTTCATATATATCCCTAATAGCATAGTATTATCCATGTCATATATTTGTTTAAATCTGGATTCTTTCGAGTCGAGAACGTAAAATTTATGTAGTACTTGTTAGACATATATATCCGAAAGTGTTTCATTGGATTTTTATTTTGTACATGAATTCGGAGGTATTGCAAAAATGTTTGTAATATTAACAGCAAAGGACCTAACATGAAATATAAGTATGTTTGTCTTTGGGATTCTTTAAACAAAAATATACGTTTAGTCTCTTTCGCCAACATAAATATATTTAAACAGAATGGCGATAATCATTTTTGAAATACTAGGATGCAGAATACTTTGAAAATGATCGATGGTCATGATGCTGTGGCATGTCTTCCTTCAATCAACATTCATTTTTTTCCCAAAATTTTCTCTTTTGAAATTGTTTATGAAGATCCTTAACTTAAATCACATTGATACGGATGTACTGAAAAGCAAATTGAATGAAATATATATATGTTATTTTCTAACGTCATACCGCTGGATTTGTAATGCCTTTTATATGCTGGATTGGTGCTATATTTTCTTTTATTTCAATTTCTTCAGAGTCATGTTTAGCAGTTTCCAATTCAAATACTTCAATTTCGTAGTAATCTACTCCAGAAAGAACATCTGACCAAGCGTACCAATAAATATCAATAAAACGCTGCAATAGTCAATGAAATAGATTGATTTTGGTTGACATTTGCATTTTAGTTATGTTTACTAATGACAATAATTTTCTAAATTGTGACACATATACTCCATAAGAACTTAAATGATACTATCACCTGGTAAATGGTTATAGAAATAGGAAATAGGAAAATTACTGTTTGTAAGATTATATACGTCCAGAGTCATTTTATTTGTACTTCCTTCATCAAACCCATATATCTGAGAGCCAAGAAAGTATTAATTCCAAATCACATGAGCAGCTATATTACCAAAAGGGATCGAAAAATAATAGCCAAACTAATATAAGGTATGTACATATAATTTTGCCTGAGGGAGTTGGAACCTTTGTTTCCGAATAAGTTTGAAATTTATAAATGGACAATATAAGAAAGATATGTTAAAATGTATTTATAAGTGTACTTCTTGGTCCGTTCATCGTTATTACATAACAACGATGAATTGAAAAAGATGGTTACAGTCGGTAACGTGATTGAACGATCAAATACCGCAGATGGCAATATACCTCTTTATCATATACTTAGCATTAATATGATAGCTTTTGCATATGTGTAATGAACGGAAGTACACAAGCCATAATTTCATACCCGGGCTGATAACCCATATCAGAGGCCTCTCGTGCAAAAAAAAAAACCACAACAGTGCTCTCGTGCAAATTACTTCCGGTATTTCCGGTATCGTCTATTTACTTTTCCATTGTGGCGTCAGATATTTTTTATTATGACGTCAAAATTTTATGTGAACTTTTGTGATGTCCAGCAATGGCGGACACATAGCGATAAGGTGTATTGGATCCAGTGGTAAATCTGTTTGTGCAGAACCAGCTTTTATTGAAAATCAGATGTAAACATGGCTAAATCCAATGATATAGATTTTCAAAATGATGATAGTTTAGTACTTGCTGATATGGATCTACAGGAAGTAAAACATGCCTTTGACAATTATGAATCATCTCATAGTACAACATGTAGTAATAATGATCATTAAACTGTAAATACCTCTATGCTTCCAGCTTACAAATTTTCAATGTTTCAAAATGCCTCTACAGGAAATGGTATCATAAATATATATGGAGGTAGTGATGCTATTGTTTGACAATTATAATTTTGGCCATGGCGTTGTCAGTTTGTTTTCGATCTATGAGTTTGACTGTCCCTCTTTTATAGTGTATTTGTTGGATTCATAATTTAATTTCTTTATCAAGTTTTTAACTGTTTTAGTTATTTCATTTGTTTATTTGCCTTACATAAAACAATTGTCGGAAGTATATGATAAAGAGATTAATACATGGCCTTTTCCATATCGGCCCGGGTATCATCCCTGGACCCATATGAGCAACTTGATTACGTCTCGGGCTGATATGCGGGTCTCGGGATGATACCCGGGCCGATATGGAAAAGGCCATGTATTAATCTCTATTTATCACTTCATCGATTGAGTCATACACTAATCTTGTAATAGTTTAATATTAAAAAGAAATCATTGGTAGCAGCTGATCCAAGAAGAAACGTATTTGTCAAAGCTGTTAGTTTATAGAGCCAAATAATTTTGACAGATTTGTTTTTATAAACTTTCAGATTGAATTCAATATTATTATACGTAAAGTTAGAAAATGGAAACAAACCGGTATAAATTTCATGCAACTGAAGCGCTGATAAAAAAAAATATTGTATTAGCAATATATATACTATTGTTACTTTTTCTGTACTTTTGGCAAGAATTGGGGGTATTCTTTTCGACCCATTTGGCCCAGCAAAAACAACATTTTGTTTTTAATATACTTATTAAGAGTCGGATATTAAGGATCAAATTATACTAACAGATTTTGATGTATCAGGTACATAGAGAGGTAGAAACGCACAAAACCATTTGATGCAATGATAGTATGGTAGCTCTGTATCCCAGTGAAATGCATACGATTCAACTGTTTTTATTCCCTTCAGATTAACCGAGTGCGTAGGCCACTTCTTAGATTTTTTGTAACTGTGTCTGTCATCTCTGTTCTCATATACATAGTATCCTCCATTTTCAAGTTCAACTGATATGGTTAACCTATAAATTGAATGTCTCAAGAATTTAAATATAAAGTTTATTTTTGATATGTGATTATGTAAGGTTGTTCTTTTCAATTTAATGTATATGCTGTATAAAAGTGTCTCGATTTATAGTATGACGCCCTTCTGAAATCCATTTTCAATCTATTTTATATAATGAACTTGATCTTTGACATGTTAACCCCAGAATGAATAGGCATCTTCCCTTTCCCTTTATCTTTCAATTATTACACTCCAATTACTTCAGGGACATTCTATGCTGCTATCTGGAAGCATTCTTTTTCAAAAATCACCTGTTTTAAGTATAATGATCTTAACTGTTGACCTATTGACCCCAAAAATATAAGGCGTCTTCCATTTTCATCAATGGGTTAATGTCAGGATAACTATTACTAAAACTAAAAAAAAAATGTATTGTCAGTTTCCATATTTTCTTGACCTTGGGTCCGTCCGCAATTTTTTCCCATAGTCTTTATATTCAAAGAAACAGTGACCATGACCATTGACCAATTGGTACATCAATATATTTTATGTCTGTATAAGTTTCATTTTAATTAGGCAAAAGACACTAAAGTTCACATCAAAAAACCTTTTTTTAAAAGTAACCATGACCTGTTCTAAAAACTATATAGATTTTGTTTCCTTCCTTATAACTTCTGTGTTGAAAAGTTTCATTCCAATCAAGCAAGGAATATTTAAATAATCTGCAGAAATTATTTGTGTTAGACACATGGACAGACAGAGCAATTATTGAGTATGATGTCGAGTGCATCAGCAGCAGTATTTATGAACATAAGCAATGTTTCGACTGAATATTCATTAGTTGTTTAGCTTCAAATCATGACACATTCAAACCATAACTGAATTGGGCAACATTATAGACTCCTATATATATTTTTGTTATGTACTTACTCATCATTGTGTCTAAACTGGTCTGCAAATTTCAATTCTTTTTCACAAGAAAACTTTGTTTTGACTGGAAAAGGCGAACTTCTTTTTGTGTTTTCTTTGCAATTTTCATTGAAAAGGGATACAGTTGTGATTTTGTCTGAAATTAATGTGTATTGTAAATTGAACGATCAAGTAAACAATTTTACCAAGAATATTCGTTGACATTACAAGACAAATTTGAAAATGGTATATCATATAATAATGTTAACTGTATGTCATCTCCATATGAATTTTGGAAACAAAAATGTATCCCTTTCAAACTTAACTTTCAAATAAGATAATATTTCATAGTTTCTGTTATCAATGGCAAAAACACAAAAAAAATCCTCATTTAAGGAATTTAAATTTAAGGAGTAATTCCATTGTTTTGGTCACATTCGCGTTTTTGTAAATCCTAAACTGGTAATTTTTGCTTATCCAGTTTATACGTATCTGTTGAAAAAGTTCTTGAGCTAATTGTCAAAAAAACATGTGAATTTGTCAAAATTCGTCATTTAATGACGATTACTCCTTAAGGAGTCCTACAATGGTCGGTCATATTGGCATTTCTGTAGGTCTTGTATTGTGTATCAGTTTTCCCTTCTATTTATCATAATATTTCTGATTTAGTTTAAACATATCTATTTATAGTGGATTGGGAAACAAGTTATTGCAACTTATATAAATCCCTTTCCACTTTGCAGGTGCGAGTGCTGCCTTGTACATGTAGCGGCATTAGCCTGCTCTTTTTCGAAAATCTACAAGGGTGTCTTTTACGTGCAAGAGATATGGCTCTCTCTTAACACGGTTCAGCCATTTATCGTCCACTTCCGACGGACTATCATCGTTTCTTAAGACCATACTCGCAAATGGTGTCAAGGTAGAGTCGAAAATTCAGTCCCTGAAATTTTCACATCGGAACGGGGATCGAATCAGGAACTTTTGTGTTAGTAGTCCGAGGCGCTAACCACTACACCACGGCTCTCGCATATTAGGCATTAAAAGGAAAAATTGTCAAAAATCATAATTTAATGGCAATAACATCTTTATGAGTCATCTAATCAGGATCATTCACTCCAAGTATGATTGAAATTTATTAAGTGTTAGAAATTTAAGAAAACAAGATCGTTAAGTATACAACGGACAATCAGTAAATAGTGGTTTAATGCTTTAACTCCTTAAGGGGTCATCAAATTATTTCGGTTGAATTGGCGTTTTTGTTGATTTTGTATTAATAATTATTTTTGCTTTTTACAGTTTCTTAATAGTTTTTGATTTATTAGGTAACATCACAATTATTAGCCGAAAATTGTCATTTAAGGATAATACCTCAGTAGTGAGTCATCTGGTAATTTTGGTACTAAAAGGAAGTAGGTAGAACCTGACATACCTATCATGTGTGTTTTCCGTCAGATTTTTTACAATAGTTTGCATGATACAAGTCAAATTTATAAGTTTGCAAGTAAATAAACTGCATACTATTGTAGAATATTTTGATCTCTACTTCTTCCCGCTTAAGAGCTATACCATTATTAATTGGTTTTTTAAAACTTGATATTCTTGATTTAAGACATTCTACTTCAGACAACAAAAATGTACCTCTTATTAAAATAGCTTTCATCTTGCCTGCTATGATACCATACTCAAATTTGGTAACAAAATGTGTCACAATTTTGTCTTCACCATTTATGGTTTCGGTGTATTCATCAAACTTTGGTATATTTCCTATTGCATTGTAAATTGCTCCAAGAGAAAATTCCATTGTTTTCAAATGTATATTATTGGTCCATTTCTTTGAAACGTTTCTGGGACTATTCACATTTTCTGGAGATGACACCGTAGTATTTTCTGCATCCATGAATTTCACTTGGGCATGAAGTATATCGATTGCTTGTGTTACTGCAAAATACATGTTAAACATATTGAGCTATATTTTCATGGCACATATCATAAACAAACACCACCTTCACCACAGCTTTGATTGTTGATGTCATATCGGTAGATGTTAGTAATTTTGAATAAGGTTTCGTTGAATAATTGGCAGTGTAAAACGAGTGCTATTAAAGTTTCTTTTTTACTTACTTGTTGTACAGTGGCTTGATGGACTATCGAAACCTGCAGTGCAATTACAAGTTTCTGCATACTCGTCCGAACAATAACCAGGAAAACATCTGGTACTGTCTGGTCTCCAGGAACAAGTCTCTATATATTATAAAAATGCATTAAATTTCTATGTGTATATTAAGTAAAGCATTCCTGTATTGATATTAAGATTGTGAAAGAATTCTACCTTCAAGAAGGACTTTTCGTCTACCTGATACGTTCATGAAGCTTATTGGGGTTTTACGTAAATTTGCATGTTTGTTTTACTTGTCATCCTATACATATCGACCATCAGGTTTACATGTTTGCAGGAATCATATGCTTGCTTCTTTATTGTGTTATCATATACAAATTCATAGGCGGATCCAGGGGGGCCCTGGGGGGCCCGGGCCCCCCCTTTCGTGGGAAAAATTTGGTTGATTATATAGGGAATCACTGAAGCATGACTGGAGCGGGCCCCCCCCCCCCCCTTAGGTCAGTCAGCGCCCCCCCCCCCCCCCCCTTATGAAAAGTTCTGGATCCGCCACTGAAATTTGAAGGAAATCATATGCTCTTATGGAAACTATGATTTTTTTCTGGTTTGGGCCTATGAATTTCCCAGTCCTTTATAAAGAATCCTTTCGAATGTTACAGTTTTCTTGCTCATGATTATTTTCAGTTTTTCTTCTGTTTTGTTTTTCTTCTATGAAACTACAGAGGATAGGATAAATAATTTGATTTAAACTAGAGTTTGCACAGTATAGAAAACATAAAGCTCTAAAGTGGGTTTTTTTTCTATCAAGAAAAATATGTACATCAAAAGTAAAACAATGCATTCAAAGTTAATAACAGAAAAAAGAAGGTAGGCATAATTTATAAAAGTATTTTCTAATTTTGAAAATCTCAACGCATTAGAAATTTTCTGGTACACGTATTTTAAACACAATAAAAGGTCAGATAAATTGAAAATATATTTCTTCATCTACGAGAACATTAGTGATACCAATATTTACTTTAACAGATGCGCATTTCGACAATAAATCTCTCCTCAGTGATGCTCGAGGTAAAATATTTGGAAATCCAAAATCTAATACAAATGGTAAAGAGCTGATAAAAAAAACAAAAGTAAATCCAGGCACATTTGCAGGCGTTCCGTAATATTGGTGCAGTAAATCAAAAAGATTTGTTTTCCAAATGTGATTGTTCTAATTGATGGATTTTTCAATAGCTTAAAATCATTATCCTACAAATCGCAGAGTTCCCTAATTTTTTTTTCTACTTTATTTACATTTGATTCACAGAATTGCATAAAAACAGACAAAAAGTAAAACTATACTTTTTGAATAAGCTACTTCAGACTAGGAGGAGCTAAGCTGTTATGGATTTTAAAAGTATGTAACGAGTTATCATTCATGTGCATTTAATTTTAAGGGAAGGCAACTGACCTACCCCAAGCAGTGAATCGTAAATCATTGTATATAAATCGCAGAGACCTCTCATAATTTTTTTCTTTTTATTTACATTTGATTCACAAAAAAGAAGGAAAGTGGACTAAAAGTAAAACTTGAAAGTATAAAGGTGTTAAGGATAGCTACTTTTTTGACCAAACACTACCTATGTAAAAAGCCATCACATCAATTAAACATTTTTAAAAACAATTGGTAGTGAAATATAAGTGAATACTGTGCAACAGAAAGCATTCTATCGTTTGTTTCAGCACATTTCGTGTTTCATTAAAATAATTGCTTAAACTGCTGGCGTTTCTAGTATAATACATCTTGAGTCATTTCCTTACCGTCCTAAATTCAAGACGGAAACTTTTGTATGAAAATAGCAAAATCCAATATGTATTCGCAATTCATTAAAAAGGAAAATTGAAATATCAGCCTAAAAACGTAAGAAAGCGAAAAGCAAATGCAAAGTTATATAAATTATAGGACTATATCCAATATTTCGTTTTTCAATACATTGTGAAATTTTAATTTGATACTTACTTTCACATGCATTAGTTAAATTGTTGTACTTGTAGGCTCTTTCATAACGTTTATGATCATTTTCATATTTACAATATACACATTCGTTTTCATAGCCATGAGGTGAGTGACAGTTTCTATAGTCACACATTGGTATATATGGGCATACTGAAAAAAAATATAAACTCATTAATGATAACAAGCTAAAAAAAATTGCGACTCAACAACCAGTAGGTTTGATTTATCAATATAGTCCCAGTTTAAGTATAGTTGCAATTTTATGTCCTCACATTGAACGCGCTTGATTTCTTTTAATCGTCTGAAGAGATTAAAATGTTCAATATTCCTATTAATCGTGTATCTTATATCGAGCTTGTTTGACCTGACACGTTATGTGCTTATTTTTAATCCATCAAGCTTTATATGTCCTTGATGTTGAAAGTATAAAAAATATTTATTTTGGCATCAGTTACGTCATATTTCTATTTGAAAATCACTAGCTGAATAGTGCATAAGTTATTACATAGAAACGACCTATCGTACTATGCCCAGTCTATCAAGGATCATAACTTCTGAAGGACGAAAGTGAAATTCGTCAATATCAAATTTCACATCCAGTTTGTCATTAGTTATAACATATGAAAACTTGAAAAGCATTTGTTGATCTAATCTATTGCAAGGAAATAAAAGAAATTATAATTTTCCAATATAAAGGACAATAACGCCTAAACGGCAAAACTGAAATTCGTCAATATCGAACTCGAATTCCATTTTGTCATCAGTGATTTGGAGAAAAAAAAGTGTTGAACGGCATATAAGTTAGTGCACGGACACAATAGAAAGCGTATTTTTTTTAGTCTATCAAGGACCATAACTCCTGAACGATAAAAGTAAAATTTATTAATATCTAACTTTACCTGCACTTTGTCATTAGTAACAATATATTGATATTTGAAAAGCATTAGTTGAACTTTTCAGTTTTAACACGGAAACCACACCATCCAGTGCGTTTGTCCAACCTATCAAGGAAAACAAATTCCTGAACGGTTAAAGTGA